TGGCAACGAGTCGTAGAACTTCTCGAAGTCCAGGAGTAGGGTCGCCGCCGAGATGCCAAGCGCCACTGCGGATTCATCGAGCAGCGCTCGCAAGAGACCTGCTCGAAGCGAGCTGCTGCCCGCCATTGCAGTGTCCCAGAAATCAGAGAGCTCCTTAGTCCATGTGGACGTGACGCCTGCTCTCACGCGGGACCAAATCTTCGCCGTCTCTGGAAGTAATCCAATGACCCTCTCTCCTCCTTTGGGTTTGGGTAATAATGCTCCAATAGATGCCAAGATCTGAGCAGGCCACACTCCATGTTCTTCAATGCTGTTGAGAAGCCTGCAGTAATCACACCGACCTTCGAGTGGAAGTCGCTGGATGTCCAGAGGTGTGATGGAGTCAACTCCGCATGCCTTGGTGCCTGAAACCCTGATAACATTGTCCACCTGCTCGATGCTGACTGGATCCAGCTCCTCCTCACGGCTCTGCGCATGCAGGCGCTTGAACATGGCGAGGATGTCGGCCTGAGAGTCGACTGGGTCGTGCCAGAGTCTCTCCCAGGTGGATCTAGTGTGCTCCATCCTGATAGTTGGGTCTCCAACGACTCGCCCATCCACTAAGGGGTCGGAAGAGACCGCCTTGGGTTCCTTCACCAATGAGTGGAGCAGGCCTGGCTTAGATGTCCAAACTCCCTTGGCCCAACGGATGAAAGAATGCCGCCTCAAGGTCAAGCATCTTGCCTGAGAACGACAGGCCAGCTTCTCAGTTAAGTAGGCAAAATCGTCGCGCTCCATCTCAGTGGCGCAAGCGAATGCGTGCGACCAGGCAATCCACCGCTGCTGATTAGCAGTGCCCTCAGAGCCTGGACCAAAGAAATCAGCTGGGTCGAAGCTGCTAGCGTCGTTGGTGTAGCGACCAAGAGCTGCGGTACAAATCGCTATCTGGCGAGGATCCTTGCCATGTCGTAGAAGAGCCATGGTTCTTTGAACCAAGGTGAGAACAGTTCCCCACCATTCTCCAGCTCCATCAGTCATGTGCACTCGCCCTGGGGTAGCTTTGGTCTGCATCCATTGTAAAGAAAATCCAGCTGCGCGTGGAGCCCTCTGTCGAAGGTTGAGCTGATGATGGAGTGCGAAAGCACGTTCCACTCCTGAGGACCACCGCGCGTACTGCCTGGTGACGGCACCAAGGCCAAGTGCGTTGATATGGCCCAACAACTCAGACTCGACCACGCTGCAACATTGAGAGCTGAGCCTCTCCATGGAGGGCTGCTCTTCCCACAGGTCTGAAGGTATGTGAAAAGAGACCTGGGACCCAGGATCCGAAGTGCTCCTTGAAGGGTGTAGTGCATCGTAGTCTTCCAGCAGATCGGGTGGTACGCGTGCCCGTTCTTGCTCTTGCCGTTGGGCTCGAAGTATAGACCTCTTGCTGCTAGGATCCGAAGCGAGCTTGGGTCTGGCTACCTTTGGACACGGTTCAGGTAACAAAAGTTTCTGGTACCACCATCTGCGCATGCCATCGTGGACGTCAACCTGCAGTGCACAATGCGTCTTCCACGGGACCTGAGGCTGCGACCGAACTCGGTATCTGGACGATGTTCCGTTCTTGGCCATTGCGAAATCAATGAGAGAGCCCTCCTGCCCTTTATCGCACGTGGTGCTGACGTCAGCAGGTAGAATGAGTGTGCCCCCAATTTTATCAGGCCATCCAGATCCTTCCAAGGAAGTTGGTGAAATATTCCAGTCGCCGATGACCAACCAAGGGTCTGCAAGCCCATGAAGGAAAGAAGCTAACGCAACCAGCACTTGACGATTTCTGCCAGAAACTCCCAATCCTGGCCAAAGATAAACTGATACCAAGACCAGGTTGCCCGAGGACAAATGCAAGATCATGGCGGCGAACCCGCGCATAGGATCAGGTTGGCGTGCAGCTTGTGCATATTGCCGAATGGCCTGCAGCGAGGTGGTAGCCAGATGCTTCTTGGCCATGACCCATTCGCCGCCAGAAGAACCTCCTCGTCCTGTTGGAGTGCTCCCTGTGGCGCAGACCTTCCAACCGTCTTTGTCCAGTTCGATCTCCGTCTTGGAGTGGAACGTGGCGGCGGTGACATGAGTCTCCACCAGACAAAACACAGAGTAAGGGGCTGTGTTGACATAACGCTGCGCTTGAGGCCCCCGCTCAGTGATGTTACCGTAAAGGATCGAAAAATCTTTCTCGTCGGATATGAGCTTGGAGGGGGCTGGAGCGGCCAAAGCCTGCGCTGCTGGTGCGCTGAGGTCAGCCTCGAGGCCCGTAGGGCCGCTGCAAGAGGCAGCCTGGTCCGCCCTAGCCTCAGGGGGCCCGGCGGTGACGCCAGGTGGCGAGGGGCCAACCTCCGCCTCGAACGGCGAGTCCTGGTGGAAACGCTCGTTGACCTCCTCAAGCTCCAGATCCTCGAACGGATCAAGCTCGGCGTCGTACAGGTGCGCCGTCGTAACGGAAGGGACAGAGGCCTGCGGTCCCGTAGATGCGCGAGGCGCAGCCCTCGGGGGAGGGCTGTCATTAAGGGCAGCATACGCCAGCCCGCCAAGCGCACCCGTCAGCGAGGCTTGACCCGATGCGCCCGAAGAAGTACGAGTGGCCGAAATCCTCGCACTCGGGGATGGCGTAGCTCCGCGCGACGCAGAACTCGACGAACGTCTTGCCTGCGGTGCCCGTGACGCCGAGCCAGGAGCCGCAGTCGGCGAACTGCTCACCTCCAACGGTGCTGTAGTTGTCTCACTTACAAAAGCGCGCTCCTCATCCGAGTCGAGGAAGAAATCGACTGGGTAGGGCCAGGGGCGCCCGCCGAAACAGCATGCCGACAAAACTCGGCGTGGCGCCCCTCGATCTGCGTTAGGCTGTGGACGGAGCCCCTGATGCTGCAGGGGAGGGGGCGGCGCCAGGAGCGCCAGGAGCTGCCTCTGCGGAGGTGGAAGCAGCCTCCTGCTGAGCGTAGAGCTCCTCCTGGGCCGACTTGGCCTTGGCTCTGGCCGCAGCGCGCATGGCCTCGGCCCCAGCTGGAGCACCTGTTGCCGCGGCGGCGCCAGCAGGCCCAGCCCCGTCAGTTGCAGCAGCAGCAGCGGGGCCAGCAGCAGAGCCAGCCGCATCGCTGCCGTCCACGCGCCTGCGCTTGGCCTCCTCCCTGGCGCGCAGCTTGCGAGCCTCCTCGCGAAGCTCCAGGATGCGCTGCGCCGAGGGTCCGAGGACTTCCTGGACCGTGGTCTGGACGCTGTCGGCCAGCTCCTGCTTGATGCGCTCCCAGTCCACGCGTGCCTGCTCGTCGAGCTCCAGGCCCGAGAGATCGAACAGCGGCCCGTCCACGATCTGGAGCGAGCCCTCGTCGACGAGCGTCGAAAGGTTGATCGCCGAAGAAGAGGGTGGCGCCGCTGACGGCGGCGCCGAGGCCTTGACCTGCTTGGCGCAGGCCGCCTCCCAGTCCTGCTGCGCCGCATGGGCGCTGGCGGCCGCCTCGTCCTCTGCGGCCTGGGCGTCGGCAAGCCACTGCTGGCCCTCCAGAACGCGGGCCGAGCAGGTCTCAAGCCATGCCAACGCCCTCCTGCAAGCCACGCCTTTGGCCCGCACTTCCTCCTCAAGGAGTGGCGCCTTCTGCGGGGCGCCCGCGCCTGCAGCAGCTGCCTGTGCCTCCTTCTTGGCCTGCGCCGCCGCCTTGAGCTTGAGAAGCTCGTCGCAGTCCGAGCCGAGCTCCTTCTCGAAGAACTCGAAGGGGTCAGCGGCTTGGGCAGGCTGCTGCTGCTGCTGCTGCTGCCCTTCGCGGCCACCATGAGGAACCCAGCCCGCCTGCTGGTAGACCCATGGCCGACGCTGGACGGCCTGGGCCTTCGGTGCGGGCCGGGGCAAAGGTGGTCCCTTGGCGCCCTTGCCTCCTGCTTGAGCCCAGGGAGGAGCCGCAGGGGCATCTGCCGCTGGCTCTGCCTCAGGAGGAGGCGTTGCGACCGCCTGCGGTGGGCCCCAAACCCACTGGCCGCGGGGACGCTTGTCCTCCGAAGGGCTCGGCACCATGGCGCCTCCGCACTGGTAGCACCAGTGGTTGTTTTTGAAATTCCAGCGGAATCTGCAGGAAGTGCATGTGATGTACGTCGTCTTGGCCCCTGCCGCTGGAACCGAGCGACCGCCGCCCTTCTTGCCGCCGCCTCCCATTGCTGATGCGAGGAAGGCTGCTCTCCCAGTGAAGGGGGCAGGCGATGGACTGGGGCGGACCAGCCCTCGCAGAGAGGATGTCGGGCGCAAGCACCCTGGCACTGCCGCGGACTAGCGGTATCCAGTTCGGCCAATGCGGGCTCCGCCCGCACGAAAGGCATCTTGAGCCAAAATGGCTACGGAGGAGGAGGAGGAGGAGGAGGAGGAGGAGGAGGAGGAGGAGGAGGAGGAGGAGGAGGAGGAGGAGGAGGAGGAGGAGGAGGAGGAGGGAGGAGGGGATGAGGGAGGAGGGAGGAGGGGGAGGAGGGGAGGAGGAGGAGGGAGGAGGAGGAGGAGGAGGAGGAGGAGGAGGAGGAGGAGGAGGAGGAGGAGGAGGAGGAGGAGGAGGAGGAGGAGGAGGAGGAGGAGGAGGAGGAGGAGGAGGAGGAGGAGGAGGAGGTGGAGGAGGAGGAGGAGGAGGAGGAGGAGGGGAGGAGGAGGAGGAGGAGGAGGAGGAGAGGAGGAGGAGGAGGAGGAGGAGGAGAGGAGGAGGAGAGGAGGAGGAGGAGGAGGAGGAGAGGAGGAGTAGGAGGAGGAGGAGGAGGAGGGAGGAGGAGGAGGAGGAGGAGGAGGAGGAGGAGGAGGAGAGAGGAGAGGAGGAGGAGGAGGAGGAGGAGGAGGAGGAGGAGGAGGAGGCGGAGGAGGCGGAGGAGGAGGAGGAGGAGGAGGAGGAGGAAGAGGAGGAGGAGGAGAGGAGGAGGAGGAGGAGGAGGAGGAGGAGGAGGAGAGGAGGAGGAGGATCCTCGCGGAAGTGGCGCCCCCCCCCCTCAGGGGCGCCCCCCCGTTGGCGTCGCCCCAGGTGGACGGTCTGCTGCAGCTTGACCTCCCGAGCCCGCAGGAGCTGGCTGGGCGGCTGGACCCGCTGGCCCTGGCAGGCCTGCGGGGCCTCCTAAGTTGGGGAGGACGACGGAGAAAACGACGACCGTGGGAGGAGGAGGAGGAGGAGGAGGAGGAGGAGGAGGAGGAGGAGGAGGAGGAGGAGGAGGAGGAGGAGGAGGAGGAGGAGGAGGAGGAGGAGGACATAGGATTTGCTGTCGGTGCCGCCGCGGGTGTGGTCCTTCGGGCGGGGTCAGGGCCATGATGTGTCGTTCTGGGTTGGAACCAGCCTTGGGGCTGTGGTGGCCCTAAGCTGGTTCCGGCTAGCAGAAAGGAGGGATAAGAGCCCCCCTCGTCGCCGCGGCTAGGCGCCGCCCAAAATATTTGACCCTTGACAGTTTGAAACCCGAGAGGAGTCTGTGGACATATTGTGTGTGAACTTGCCATCATCCCACCCTCTTGAAAGATTTTCTCTGGGCTTATCCAGCACAGACTTCCCGGTCCTCCAAGCTCCAGAGCGATCCAGAACGTTGTCGGAGCGTTCTGGACCCAGATCCACGACGGGAGGACTTTGACCGTCTTCGGCCTCCAGGGGCTCCAGCTGGGCCCAGGGACCGTCAGAGGGTCGAGACTTCCAGGAACCCCGCATTGAACAAATGGAGTGATGGGTGTGTTTCCCACCACCACCACCGCCATAAGTTGGAGGGGGAGGGGGTCCTTCTCCTCCTCCTCCTCCTCCTCCTCCTCCTCCTCTTCGTTCTCCTCCTTCTCCTCCTCCACCTCCTTCCCCCCTCCAACTTATGGTGGTTGTGGTGGAAAATATGCCCATCATGGAGACTTCGCACAGCATGTCCTCGCAGCGCTCTGGAGCGACCGCGGCGCCCGCCGCCCGGATCTCGAAGATCCTCGCTGCGTCCTGGTCCCGTTGGGCCCCGTCCAGCCTCGTCGGGGGGGGGGGCCAAAACGGTGCGTCGACCATCAGAGGAGGACAAGGTACCCATGCCTCTGCCCTCGTTTTTCCATTTTCGGGCCTCCTGGGCATTCCTCGTCGCCACCGCTGGATCCGCCTCGAAATCCTGGTCAGAACGCACCTCGGGAGAGGTCTGGGGAGTAGCGGTACTCCAGATTTCGTAATAAACGGAGGGGGGTCTCATTTCGGGGGGGGTCTCTTCCAGGCTATCTTGGAGGGCCTGGGGGGTCTGGGGACGATGTTTTGGAGGGTTCGCCCACGGGGGAGGTCTGAAATGGCTTGTCTTGGAGGGTCCAGACCCCCTCCTATTTATTACGAAGTCTAGAGTATCGGTACCTTTTGGTGTTCACAGACCACACCGTGTGGCGAGTCAGTGGGGATTCGGGGTCACCGCACGGGTCGTTCTCCGAGGACGTCTCGGTCGACCGTGGCCTCCCGGGTCCCAAGACCGTTCAGTGAGTGGGGTGCAATTCGGTCAAGTTAAGGACCAACGCTGGTATATACCTGGTCGGAAGCTGGCCTAATCGCATTCGCTTGATGATTCAGGAATGACTGGGGGTCGTGTTCACTCGGCGGCGCCCGGGATTCAGAACACTGGCCCTGGGCCAAAACATATTCCCAACCATCCTGTGGTGTTGGGTCCTCGTCTTGAAGAGACAGTCCCCGGGTTCACTCCTCCCGCTGCCCCCTCCCTCCTCCTCTCATCATCATCATCATCATCATCATCATCATCATCATCATCATCATCATCATCATCATCATCATCATCATCACCATCAGCATCAGCATCAGCATCAGCATCATCACCATCAGCATCAGCATCAGCATCAGCATCAGCATCAGCATCAGCATCAGCATCAGCATCCTCACCCTCTTCCTCCTCCTCCTCATCATCATCATCTTTATCCTCCTCCTCCTCCTTCTCCTCCTCCTCCTCCTCCTCCTCCTCCTCCTCATCATCATCATCATCATCATCAGCATCATCATCATCATCATCATCATCATCATCATCATCATCATCATCATCATCATCATCATCATCATCATCATCATCATCATCATCATCATCATCATCATTATCATTATCATTATCATCATCATCATCATCATCATCATCATCATCATCATCGTCATCACCCGTTTCAGCACACCTCTCACACATATCGTGGCCCCATAGGGAGCTCCACCGAAGGCCCCGGTGCTACCGCCCGCATGCGTCCCCCCACCCAGTACGGCGTTTCGTGGTAGGCTCCACCGAAGGCCCCAGTGTTACCGCCCGCATCCGTACCCCCCACCCAGTACAGCGTCTCGTGGCCCCATAGGGAGCTTCACCGACGGCCCCAGTGTTTCCGTCTGCATGCGCCCCCCCAACTCAGTACAGCGTTTCGTGGCCCCGTACAGTGCTACCGCCTGCATGGGTCCCCCCCACCCAATATAGCGCTTCGTGGCTCCGTACGGAGCTCCACCGAAGGCCCCAGTGCTACCGCCTGCATGCGCCCCCCCACCCAGTGCAGCTCTTCGTGGCCCCGTAGGGAGCTCCACCGAAGAAGATATTCACAATTGCGGTATTCACAACTGCATATGGTTGGGTACTTGGCCAGGATAATTTTTGAATCTTTCCCTCCCGCATTGCTCGGACGCGCGCCTGGACAGTCGACGGCCAGACGGAGCCGAAGCGAAGCGGAAGCCGGGCCGTGCGGTGAGGTCTCTTGGGGTTCCGAGGTCGCCGCGCGGTCTGTCACCACACGGTCTCGGGACCCCCGACCAGGGTTCATTGCTCCGATTCGATTCGATTCGATCTCGATGGCTTCCGATTCCGATCCGATTCGGCTTGGGATTCCGATGTGGGTTCCGATTTCTTGTCGGAGGCATACCAGCCTGCCGATTTCCGCCGATTCGACTTTCCCGACTCGGCTGCCAAATTCCGCCGACCCGATTCATTTCGATCGCCGAGCCGATTTCTCGATTCGGTTCTGGGCTCTCCTGCCCGACCCCCGACGTACGAGATCTCGATGTTTTAGCCGAGGGGTCCCTGGAAGTCCCGACCCTCTCCCTCCCCAGGGCCAGCTGTTCGTTCTGGGCCACCGTTTCACGGCCCCGGGTATCCCGCGAGGGCCCCCGCAGGCCGGAAACTGCCCAGATCCGCCCACCGTGTCTCCTCTCCACGCCGAAGGGGTCTGGTTCCGGCAGTCATGCCTCGTCGTGTCCAATCGGAGGGGGATAGACCTCCTACCCTGACGCGTCGAATTAGCGAATCGGCCGTTTTCGGTTCGCGAGAGGGCGTCGCGGCCGTCATTTTTGCGGGTCCAGGTCCGTCGGTTTCGGTCCCAGGCCGTTTTGGCTAAAGGGTGGTTTACCAAAGGGAGGTTTGTCCACCGCCGATCCAAGCTGCTGGGCCCAAGGCCATGCCATTGAGGCCAAGTGACCCCCAACCATCACCCCGTCAGCTGGGGATAGACTCCTCGAAACCCGAGGGGAAGAGCCTATCTCCCCATTAGGGGGGGAATCGGCTTGTGGGGCCACGGCCATGCCAGTGCGGATGGGGATCGGTTAAGCGATGCTCGATCAGGCCTCGTTGTCGAGCTGGTGGCCGAATTCGCGTCTGCGTAGGCCCCCCATCACGCCCGACCGACCCCGACCCTGTCCGCGCCCGCTGACAAAACTCTGTTCCACATCCGCGCGTGTCTGAGCGCCTTCCTGCTTCATGGGCCCTTGGCCTCCTGCATGTCGCCCGCACGCCCCCCCCCCCTCCACCCCCCGATAACTTGACCTGGTCGGTTGCGCAGGCCCGACGGGGGTGCGCGGGCGGCTGCGCGCGGGCAGACGTGGGGCCGGGCCGCACGGAGCGAAACGGTCCGATCATCGGCGGGCCCCCCCCCCTCAGGCACCTCGGGTTCTCGCCGAAAAAAATAGCACTACGCCGGAGGAAAAGATCGCCATCGCCGAAGAATGACAGACACGTTACCCCAGCGAAACAACCCAATCAGTGGATTGTCTTCGCCGAGGAAATCGACGGGGAGCTTGGGAGTCCGGGAACCCAGAACCCGCCGAGATCGGCCCGGAACCCATACCTGGGAGCCCGGGAACCCCGGGAGCCCGGGAGCCCGGGAGCCCGGGAACCCAGCCTGCTGCCAAACTCGTCGGAGGTGGATAGACCTCCTACCCTGACACGTCGATTAGCGAATCGGCCGTTTTCGATTCGCGAGATGGCGTCGCGGCCGTCATTTTTGCGGGTCCAGGTCTGTCGGTTTCGGTCCCAGGCCGTTTTCACTAAGGGGAGGTTCACTAAAGGGAGGTGTGTCCACCGCCGAGACCAAACTCGGCGGGAAACGTTCGCCAACTCTTTCAGCTTCCGCCAGGACCCCAATCCGTGCAAGCACTGGTTGGGGAGCGACCCCTTGGGACATCTTCCCCGCGGCAGCGCCAGCAGCCGCGGGCGCGGGGGAGCGAGTGCGGCGGGGCGCGCCGAGCGCGAGTCGCGCGCCGCGGGGGGGAGAGCAGAGAGCGGCCGCGGAGGGAGGCAGGAGCGAGGCCCGGAGTGCGGCGGGGCGCGCCGAGCGCGAGTCGCGCGCCGCGGGGGGGAGAGCAGGGAGCGGCCGCGGAGGGAGGCAGGAGCGAGGCCCGGAGTGCGGCGGGGCGCGCCGAGCGCGAGTCGCGCGCCGCGGGGGGGGGAGCAGGGAGCGGCCGCGGAGGGAGGCCGGAGCGAGGCCCGGCCGCCGAGCGTCGGCGGGCGAGGGGCGCGCGGGCGGCCTCCGGCCGGCGATGTCTTGGGGCCCCCTCCCCCCAAGCCAGGCCTCGTGGTGGAGCTGCTGGGCGAGGTCTGGCGGCGCGCACAAGGGTCAAGTCGGGCCTGTCCCCCGACAGGGGGATCTTCGAGGAAAAATTAAGAAGATAGTCCAACACAAATTCAAAAATTGGCAAGAAATAATATGAAAATCCCCCCCAGACTATATTTTGACTATTTTTGAATCTTCCTCCTGTAGAGGGACAGGTCCGTCTTAACACAAGGGGGGGGGGCGCGAGGGGGGTGGCCTTCAAGGAGGCGGCGCGCCTCCTCAGGAGGGGCAGGGGCCTCCTCGGAGGGGCCCAGAGGCCTCTCATAGAAGGCTTCCCGAGGAGCAGGGAGGGCCTCGAAAAGAGGAGGCCCCTGCCCTCCAGAGCAGCCCCCCCTGCCTTCTCAGGGGGCCGCCCCTCTCGCGCCACCTAGGGGGCCACATGCGAAACCTACCCCTACCCCCCCACGATCTCTGAGGGGGAGGGTCGAAAGCTGGGCGAGGGCTGCTAAGACCGCGGCTGCTAAAACGGCCCTCCCGGAAGGAAAAAAACAATTTCCCGGAATGAGGCGCGGCACGCGAAGCAGCCGACGGGCTTCCTCCCGGAAGGACGAAGCCAACTGCCCGGAGAGGTCGATTTTGCCAGCCACGGACTTGGCAGCCCTTGCCCGGCTTCCGAGAGGGGCAGGGTCCGCCTGTGGCCCCCTCGCCGCCCCCCCGCGGTGCGCGCCGCTGGAGAGGTGCGGCGTTGCCGCGGGGAGGCCGACGACCTGCGCGCGGCCGTGGGCCGGTCGGCCGTCGGCCTGCTCACCGGGCGGCCGCCGCAGGCGGCCGGCGGCCCGGCCGGCCAGGGCGTGCGCGCGGCGCCGGCCGTGCCCGTGCCTCAGGGGGACGCCAAGAGAGGCACTGCCCCAGAGATCCAGCGTCTTGAAAGGATCAAGACGGAGGGACGTCAAGACCCAGACAGGATCGCGTCGTCAAAAATCAGGACGGGAAGTTTTTGGCCAATTTCGGCCTCGGGGGGCCCTCGCCGGGCCTCGGGACCATGAAAAAACGACTCAGGACGAAAAACCGGCCCCGGGGAACGGGTCGGGACTTCTGGGGACGCCGTCCTGAAAAAATCTGGACGTCGCATGTCTGGGGAGGCACGGCGGGGGCGCCCGGGTGCCGAGTTTTTCTGTTCATATCATGGGTTGCTCCTTTGTTTCAGCTCCCCACCCGATCGTCAATCGTCACTGTTCTTTCTTGCTGCTGCCTTCGTTGGCCTGGCTTGTAGCCTTGACCCGGGCGTGTACCTCTACAAGAGTCGCGGTGCCAATTTGTTTCACGATCGCTCCAGGCATCCCAGACGAGCGCCGCAGAACCTCAAGCAGTGGCGAAGCGTCCTGGCGTGTGCTTGTAGGCCTACCCAGCATGGTTTCCACAACATGTTCTTGGAGCATCTCTGGCTGGGACTGTCTTGTTTTGACCCATCGGGTTTACGTTCTAAGAACATGGCTTTTGTTCTAAGAGCACTAGTGGGTTCTCAAAGAATTTCGTGGTAGGCCTATAGCAATGCTGGGACGGTCGGTCCCGCTCAAGAACATGGGTTCGTCTGCGTCGACATTGGCGCGCAGACTTCCCGCGCAAGGTCGCGCGTAAGTGCCCTCCCTTTCGGCGCAGCAGGTCGTGCTGGCGGCCCGCGCAAGCCGCTGCGGCAGGTCGCCACGCCATCTCGCGAAAGACCCGCTTCCTTTCGTCGCTCAAATGCGGTCCGAGCAGATGGGGTCGAAGTATCGCGCTGCATCGCCGACGCATCGGCGCTGCGGCTCGATGAGGAGCTCGATTTTCTCCACGCCAGCGTCACCGGTGCGTCGCTGACGTCAGCGATGCATTACCGAAGTATCGGCGATGCGGCTCGATCCTTCTACCCGGTCTACTCGGACTCCATCTTGGACCCTATTTGGTAGGCCGGCTTCTGTCATGGTTTTTCGGGATCACGCGCGATCGCGTGCGATCAGGTGCAGGCGGACGCGATCACGCGCGATCGTGTGCGATCAGGTTCGAGCGGGCGCTGCCAGACACGATCATGCGCGATCGCGTGCGATCAGGTGCAGTCGGACATGATCGCGTCCGCGTGCACCTTGTTGTACCCAGTCGCCGATACCCCTGCCTCGTTTGTTCGCTGGCGAGCCCAGTGGGGAAGTGAGAGGGGGCAAGCCGTCTGTGTCGGCGGCGGGGCTTCTCAGAAGCCCCTCGGCCTTCTGGGAAGCCGTCTGTCTTCGGGTGATGCTCAGAAAGCTTGTTCGACCGCCAGAGGTTTTCTGAGCCTCTAATATGGCCCGCCCTCTCTGCCCTCCCCCTGGGCGTGCCGCCGATTTTTGCCTTCTGGGGCTTCGTGGGAAGCCCTCGTCGCCGCGGCTGGATTCGCCTTGAAATTCTGGTCGGAACGCACCCTGGAAGCGGTCTGGGGAGCAACGGTACCGATTATTGGTATCTGCCTTTTCCTGTTCCCCTCTTCGTCATGAGGAACGTTGGGACCATTGGGGAGGACTGGGCTCATGGTCGGGCGAAGAGAACTATGCACATGCACCGATCCTGACAACGCCCATCCTTGACCCAGGATCGGTGCGTATACCTTCCTGGCCAAGGTACGAGGGCGTATGCACCGATCCTGGGCTGAGGATGGGCCTGGCTAGAATCGGTGTCTGTGCATAGTTCTCTTTCCTCTAGAGGAATGGGCTCATTGGGGGGGGGGATGCGCCGACCCCCGCATCCTTCGCCTATCGGGGCCTGATCGCCCGCCCCGACCAGGATCATGCGGGGTCTGCGAGCATGCGGCTCTGCGATCATGTGTCCCTGGCCCAAGGTGTCCGCCATGATTTCCCAGGACCTCCAGAGCGCCCCCCCACGAGGCCCAGAGGGACCCCTTGGGTCCAAGATGTGTCGAAAAGCCGAGGACCCCTCAGGCCAGGACCGGATTTGGCAACCTGCCACTCTTCTCTTCTCCCGCTCCTCTCCTTCGAAGGCTGCCTGGAAGTCTGTCGGGATGCCCTGGAATGGAGGCACTCCAGGGCCACCAGTCTGCGACCCCACGCAGTCCCACGCAGTCCTCCCATGGTGCCACGAGCAGGTCTTTGGTGCCGCGCAATTCGCCCAATCTCTTGCGCCCCCACCCGTGGGGAGGCCCGCATGAGATTCCGTGGGGACCCCTTGAGGCCGCCTGGAGTGACCCCTGGACTCTCACCTGCAGGATTCTACAGCCCCCCCTGGAAGTTCCTGGAGGCCCCTTTGCGGTCGTGCCGACCAGCCTGTCGCCGCCATTGTTCTGTGGTCCCACGGATTGTCGTCCTGCCCCACCGCGGGTGTCTTGCTGTGTCTTTGGGCGCGCATCCGCTATGGGGACCGGGTCGCCGCAGAGGTCAGCGGGGGAATCAGTAGGGAGTTTCAGTAAGGGGAGTCAGCAGGGGGAGTGAGTAAGTGCCTGGCACGCGTGGACACACGTGGGCACGTTCGCGGGCCCCCCTCTCTTATATCCGCTGCTGCGGGGCTCTTCGTTCACTCCCGCGCGGCTCTCCTGCGCCAGCCGTCCCCGGACGCTCCCCAGGGGCTCACAAGTCTGAGAGGCTCTGGCAGGTGGGCATTGTCGGTCATCATCCGTTTGCGTTCCCACCCGTCCCACGCAGCCTTCCTCTGTCGCTGCGGGTGTGCGGTTTCAAACGCAGCGACCTCCCTGACGATGCAGCCCAAGCGCACAGTAAGCATGGGCGACTTTCAAAGGTTACCCTTGCATCCTTCCCCTTTGGCCCATCCTTGAGCACTTTCGCTTGTCGCGCCCCGCTCGAAAAGTTCTGACATGGCCTTCCAAGGCCCTTGTATCCTTACCTCGCATCCTTATTCTACGCGTTGGCTGTGTTGTAGCCTGACGCGTGCGAGCCAGCGTGGACTCTGTCCCGCAGGAACCCAGGGGGCGATCTTGATCGAACCTCGGCCGGGACAAAGGCGTCCGCTCCCTCGGGGACGCGCGTAGGCATGCAGCTGAAGGAAGCGGCTGATGCTGATGGTGATGATGACGATGACGACGACGCGGATGATGTTGATGAAGATGATGATGGCGGCGATGACGAAGATGGTGATGGTGGTGATGATGGTGATGATGACGATGATGATGATGATGATGATGATGATGATGATGCGGATGCTGATGGACATGATGATGGTGACGACGGCGATGCTTATGCTGATTGCCATGCTGACGCTGACGATGAGGATGATGAGGATGAGGATGCTGATGAACATGATGATGCTGATGATTCTTATACTGATGGTGATGCTGCTGATAATGCTGATGTGGACCACTATGAAAATAATCATTATTATGATTTTGCTGTTGACGGTAAGTATGGTTCATACCATTCGTACATGATTCTGATTCTGTTGTTTTTCTCATGACGATGATGACGCTGATTATGATGATGCTGCTGATGCTTATGATGATGCTGATGATGTTTATGATTATGCTGATGATGATTCTGCTTAGCATGCGTCTCATGTTGTTTGTGTTGCTGGCGCTGCTGCTGATGATGCTGATGATGATGGTGGCGGTGGTTGTGGTGATTGTGATGATGACGACGATGATGATGCTGATGACGATGATGCTCGTGGTGATGATAATGATGATGATGATTAGGATGCTGCTGATGATGTTGATTATGGTGATACGACTGAGAATGGTAATGATGCTAATACGATCAGTTAAACCAAGGATACTATTACGACTACTGCGACTACTACTACTACTACTACTACTACTACTAACAATACTTTACCATCCTGAGGCTGAATATGATGCTGAGGTTGATGATGATGATGATGCTGATGCTGATGCTGATACTGATGCTGCTGATGATGACGACGATGCGGATGATGATGATGATGATGATGATGATGATGATGATGATGATGATGATGATGATGATGATGATGATGCCGATGATGAATATGATGCTGATGCTGATGATGCTGATAATAATGCTGATGATGACGCTGATGATACTGCTTCTGCTGCTGACGATGATGCTGGTGATGATGATGATGATGCTGATGATGATGATGCTGATGATGATGTTCTTGTTAATGCTGGTGATGATGATTAGGAGGAAAATGATGAGGATGAGGATGAGGATGAGGATGAGGATGAGGATGAGGATGAGGATGAGGATGATGATGATGATGATGATGATGATGACGATGATGATGATGATGATGATGATGATGATGATGATGATGATGATGATGATGATGATGATGATGATGATGATGATGATGATGATGATGATGATGATGATGATGATGATGATGAATGAGGGAGGAGAAGGAGGAGGAGGGAGGAGGAGAGAGAAGGAGGAGGAGGAGAAGGAGGAGGAGGAGAGTGAGCAGTGATGACTACTGGAGGAGGAGGAGGAGGAGGGGAGGCGGAGGAGGAGGTGGAGGAGGAGGAGGAAGATGAGGCGATGGAGGAGGAGGAGGAGGAGGAGGAGGAGGAGGAGGAGGAGGAGGAGGAGGAGGAGGAGGGGGAGGACTTCCGTCGTTCCTTTCGCGCTGTCCGCAGAATCCTCTTAAGTTCTTCGCCATCCCTGGCGGCAGTGCGCCGCCGGGGAGGGCCGGCAGCGCCACTCGTGTTACCAGCGCCGACAGATTTCAGATCGCAGATCGCAGCAGTCGGTGGAGGAGGAGGAGAAGTAGGAGGCGGCGGAGGAGGAGGAGGAAAACCAGTGCAAATCCAAGGCTCATCAAGGATATTGCAATAAACCCTCTCTCCAAGCTCCCTCTTCATAGGCTTCTACACGGGTTCATGTTCATGGAAGGAAGTAACCCGATGGAAAACAACCGTTTGAAAGTCCAAAACTGCGCCAGAACACCATTCCCGGAACCTCAACGCCGCGAATCACCGTTACTGTTGCGTGTAGACGATCCTGAATCGTGCGAGAACGCCGTTTCTAGGACTTCAGCGCAGCGAAAAAACGTGACCCTCGCGCCCTGGCATTCCGAAATCGTGCCAAAACACCCATCCTGGAACTTTGACCATGCGAATCCTTGAAACTGCTGCAAACTCTTAAGACGAGTGTGCGCGGCGTTAATGCGAGAGCCACATATTGAAAAGGAACCGCCCTCCACCCGTGAAAGGTTTGCAAACTTTTGAGACGAATGTGCGCGGAGGCTAAGGCGAGAGCTCCATTTTTAAAACGGTCCGCCCTTCACCCGTGAAACTCTTGCAATCTTTTAAGACGAATGTTCGCGGGGCTACGGCGAGAGGCACATTTTGAAAAGTGACCGCCATCCATCCGTGAAACCTTGCAGTTTTTGTCCAACGAATGTGCGAGGCGCTGAAAGCGATCCTCCCCCGGACCACCCTGTCGACCGGCCTTGGGGTGCGACAGGGATGAGTCATGTAAGGAAGAGAGGGGGAGGTGGAGGCAGAGGATGAGGCGGAGGAGGAGGAGGAGGAGGAGGAGGAGGAGGAGGAGGAGGAGGAGGCGGAGGAGGAGGAGGAGGAGGAGGAGGATTATGATGAGGAGAAGGAGGAGGAGGAGGAGGAGGAGGAGGAGGAGAAGGAAGAGGAGGAGGAGGAGGGAAGAGGAGGAGGAGGAGGAGGAGAAGGAGGAGGAGGAGGAGGAGGAGGAGGAGGAGGAGGAGGAGGAGAGGAGGAGGCCCCCGTGGGTCGGGTCCCGAGGCCGACGTTGACGTCCAACGTCGACAACTGGGCCTGGGGCACCGGCAAGGACGCATCCCGGCCCGCTCTCGCGCTCATTGCCCCGCGTCTGGTTCTGCCCCAGGGGACCGTCGCCGCTCCGACGTCGAACCCCAGGAACCCACTTTTCCCCAATCAGTGCTTGCACTGAAGGGGTCCTAGCGGAAGTTGAAAGATTTGGGCTCCCGGGCTCCCGGGTTCCCGGGCTCCCGGGCTCGCTGAGGAGATCGACCGTCGATCTCCTCAGCGAAAACCATCAACTGATTGGGTTTTTTCTCTGGTGTAATGTATCCCCTGGGGGTAACTCAAAGGAAAAAAAGGTACCAATACCGCTTCCCTTCTTGCGTTTTCGCCTTCTGCTTCTGGGCCTCCTAGGAGGCCCTCGTCGCCACGGCAGGATCGGATCCACTTCGGAAGCCTGGTCAGAACGCACCTCGGGAGAGGTCCAGAGAGTAGCGGCATCGGTAACTTCTGTTTACCCAGTAACGGGCGTGACCGGAGGTTTTTTGTTAGATTGCGACGCTGATGAAGCGAAGAGCTTGTCAGTCAAAGGCTGCGTTGCACCAGACTGCAAAAGTTCTGCACGGGCAACTTCAAATAAGCAGGTACAGTACAGCGAACAGTAACCACGAGTTCGGCGACCAGGAAGCGGCGCAAAATAGACGGGGAGGGGGGAGGGGGCGAGAGTCGGTTCTTTACACTCCGAATGACATTTTACAACCGAGATAGGGCACTTTACAACCAGCAGCGGATCGGATGTTATGGTTTTCCTTTGTGAACGACCACTTTACAACTAGAACAGCCCACTTTACAATCAGAACGGCCCACTTTACAACCAGCCTTCAGAAGCGCGTGAGCGTTCTGTAGAGGCTTCTGAGGCTTCTGAGCGCCTGGGCGCTCTGCAAAAGCGCCTGAGCGCTTTCCAGAAGCATCTGAACGCCTGGGCGCCTTGCAGACGCTTGTGAACGCCTGAGCGCTCTGCAGAAGCTTCTGAGCGCATGTGCGCTCTGCAGAGGCTTCTGAGCGCCTGAGCGTTGTTCTGCAGAAGCTTCTGAGCGTTTGAGCGCTCTGCAGTGGTTTCTGAGCGCCTGAGTGCCCTGCAGAAGCTTCTGCGGCTTCTGAGCGCCTGGGCGCTTCATAGAGGATGAGGCGCGAGGACAATAGTTGTTTGTGAAGCCGATCAACAATTTTGAGTCCACATGTATTGATTAGAACCGTACCGTGGATTTCTTGGCAACATGTCCGCCCTCCTGGGTACGCATGCTTCCGGAATTGCGAACACATACTGTTTTGCAAATGCCAGAAGGTGAGGCGCGATGACAAATAAGTCTACGATGCAAAAATCATGCGATTTGAACTCCACATGTCTTGGCTATACTAGTTCGAATGTTTTCTTGGCCACATTTCCGATTTCCTGGCTACGCATGCGCCCGCATATGTGAAACCATACGGGCTTGTGATTGCCAGACGATGAGACGCGAGGATAACAAATGCCTATGATGCAAAGAACTGTTTGACATGCGCATGTAATGGCTATAATTTTACCGACGAGTTCTTGGCCACGTTTCCACTCTCCTGGGGGCGCGCGTGTCCCTCTGCGTCTTCTGCGGCCAACGCTACTGTCTTTTTATTGCCAGAAGAGGCAACATTTTCAGGCGGACGTTAGGAGATCAAACAACGATGTTGATTTCGGGCACAATTGTAAAACAACTTACACTGCCCAGGCCTGCTACCAGCCTGTAGCCGGCGTATCCCTATTGGATCTCAAATGGGTTCCAGTAATTTCTCTTTTGGGCACCACATGGATAACAACAGGACGCCAGGTTTCTGTTGGGTTGCAGTTGGGTCCTGATGGGATTCCAATATTACGCCCGTATGGATCAAAACGGAAGGCTTCCGTTGGGATTCCAGTGCGATGCCCGTCGAATTCGCCAATACGGTACCGATGGGAATTCCAAGAGAAACAGTTCTTATTGTTTTCGAATATGAACCCACAAGGCTTCCCACCGGGCTTCCATGCAGTACCACAATGCGTGTCCCGCAGCATTCCAGCAGGAAGGTTCTTCAATTGTAATCCAATGGGTTTTCCAATCGATTTCCATTCGGACAAGGTCCCAAATCGATTCAATAGGAAGCATCCCTACCAGATTCCAATTGGACGCCCGTAGGCCCCATAGCGGGGAATCTTGTTGTATGCCAATGGTGTTTGTCTGGTGTCAATAGGATCCCAGTGGGAAGGGTGCCAATCGAATTTCAATAGGATTCCGGTTGGATCCCATTAGGAAGCCGCCAGTTCATATATTATTGTTTAAGACGAGTCTTTTCACAACCAGCACGCTTCAGATAACGAAGTGTCTCCCTTACGTGGGTCCACGGATATTTTGGAGATTGAAGAGCATGTGTCGTTCATATGCGTTGATTGCCTGGTTGTAATGTCGCCGTCCTGGTTGTGAAGTGCCCTTTCGGGAAAAGCCCATGCTGGTTGTAACGTCCCCCATCTGGATGTAAAATGGCCGTTCTGGTTGCAATGTGACAAACGCTGGAGGGGGCTGGTCACGTCACGATTCGCGCGGGCGCCGCTTGGGAATGCTTAGGAGTGGCTTTCCCAGGCTGTGCCAGACCGACTCGTGACGTGACAAGGGAAGGGGGAATACGTGCGACCACGACGGGACATCATCTTGGGGGGTCTGGATGTGGATAAGGAAGGGGCTCGTGAGGGTACGCTGATTTGGATGGGGATACTGGTATCCAGCCTCATGTCCTTCCTCCCTCCTGGGTCTTTCTTCTCTTCCTCTTCCTCCTCCCTCTCCTTGTCCCCCACCGTCCACACCTCCTCCTTCCATCACCTTCCTCTTCCTTGTCCTTCCCCTCCCGGGTTTTACGGGATTCGTGGCCGCTGGGGTTGCGGATTACCCAGCCCGTGGGAATTGTATTACATTTGAGCAAACCCAATCAGTGTATGATTTGGAAATTAATACTATGGATCTTGAGATCGATTGTGATATCGATAATGAGATCGATAGTGTAATCGATAGTGAGGACGATTGTAAGGTCGATCGTGAGACCGAGAGCGGAATCCACTCAATGAGATCGATAGTGAAATCGATCGCGAGATCGTTCATGCGATCTCTAGCGAGGTCGCTTGTGAGATCGATAGTGAGATCGATTGTGTGATCGATGGTGAGATCGATAGAGAAGTGGGTAATGAGATCGATCGTGAGACCGATCGATAACCAGATCGACCAGGATCCTGGGAATCTGGGAACCTCGCCGCCCTCCGAAATCGGCCCGGAACCGGGAACCGGGAACCAGGGAACACGGAATCGGGAACCCGGGAACCCAGCGTGCGACCCAAATTGGCGGGACACATTCGCTAAATCCTTCAACTTCCGCGAGCACCCCGTCAGTGCAAGCCTTGATTGAGGAATTTCTTCTATTCAAACTTAAGACCAGTCGTAATGTCAAAGCCGTCTTATCTTTTTGAAAGTATTGGGGTCTAGGGGTTTCGGCACTCCTGGTCACCCGGTCTGCGGATCCCTGGCCCCTAGAAATCATTGTTGTGTAAGCATTAACAGCCCTCAAAACCGTTTTTTTTGTGAGACCCCACCAGCCATTGTGGCTAAAGTTGTCTAGTGAGTTTTTCTCGTCCAGAAGCCCTCTTCATTTCGGGGGTGGGGGTGCCCTCCCCCTCACATCCCTGAGTTTTTTTTGTTGAGCGGGCCTCGTGGTGTCAGGGCGCCCAAGATAGCCCGAGATGGCTCCAAGAGGGCCTCCGATGTTCCAAGATGGCCTCCAAGGCGACTCGAGATAGTCGAAGATGGTATATGGTTCATCATAGCTTCCGACATACTTCCAAGAGGCCCGACGAGGGCCACAAGATGGTTCCAAGCCTTTCGGAGCCCCCTCAGGACCTTCCCAAGAGGCCACTCTATCCAAAAACCAGAGGAGTCAATGATTTGAGCCTTCTCGCCTTTTCGGTTCCGATGCGCTTTTGAAGCCTTAATATGGCCCTAAGATGGCCCGAGAAAGGCCCAAGAGCGACCGAAGAGGCCCCCAGACGGCCCCAAGAGCGCACAATAGCGGCCCAGCAGCGTCCCAAGAGAGCGCAAAAAGAAGATTGTGATGGCCCCAGGGGGGGGGAACGAAACTCGAACAGCCTCTCCTTTGATCGACGCCTTACATAATGGCCCCAAGAAGCTTTGCAGGGCTCCTAAGAGGCTCCAAGAGAGCCCCAAGAGGGCCCCCAAAAAGTTCAAGACGGCCCCAAGACGACCCCAAGAGGACCCCATGATCCCCCAAAAGAGTCCCAAGAGGGCTCCAAGAGGCGATTTTGAAGTCTCGGTCCTCGTCCTCGTCATCCTCCTCTTTTTTTGTCTTCTTCCTCGTCGTCGTCCTTGCCCTCATCGTCTTCCTTTTCCTTTTCCTCCTCTTCCTCGTCGTCGTCGTCGTCGTCCTCGTCGTCGTCGTCGTCGTGGTCGTCTTGGTCTTGGTCTTGGTCTTGGTCTTGGTCTTGATCTTGGTCGTCGTCGTCGTCGTCGTCTTCGTCGTCGTCGTCGTCCTCCTGCTTCTCTTCCCCTCGCCACCTCGCGGGCCCCCAGGCGGGGGGGGGGTCTGGACCCCCCCCCCTCCCCCTCCCCCCCTTAAGGCGGGGGGAGGGTTCCCCCCCCCCCCCTCCTCCCCCTCCCTTGAAGGGGGGGGGGGGTCCGGACCCCCCCCCCTCCCCCCCTTTCCCTGTTGCGCGCTTTGTCTTTGTATAGTCGGAGACGTGAATACCCCTCGGCCCCTTCCTCGCCCGCTCGCTTGAATCGCAGGCTCCCGCAATGCGGTGGCTCAAGTCCGAGAGGCCTTGGCGCGGCGGCCCACGGATGGCCCGCCCTCGCCCTGGTCAGCCTTCGTCGCCGCCTGGAGCGCGACGATCGGGGCCTGCTGGTCCTGGAGCTGGAGAGCACCAGCGGCTCCCGCGTGGCACCCGCCTCCGCCGTCGCCCTGCTGCTCGGAGGACGACCGCCTCTGCTGCGCGGGGCTGAGGCGCATCATCGACTTCCAGGCGGAGGTCAGCGGCCTCCAGGTGGAGGTTGGGCGCTGCGGTGCCTGCTCGTGGCCGCGCTGCTCGGGGGGCTGCTGCTCTCCGGCGCCGGCGCGCCGAGGTCTGGTGCGGCGCCTGCCGGCGTTGCTGTCGCGGCGCCCGCGGCCGGGCGCCCGCAGGGGGCACCCCGGGCTGGACCCGCGGCCCCACTGACCGCGGTGGCGTTCTGTGCTGGCCCATCGACGCCTAGCCGACGCCATGGCTGACGTTTTGTTTCTCGACATCTCGGATCCACGGATCTTCGTGCGCTACGAGAGTGACCCAGCTGGCTTCTGCCGGCACCACCGCGTGCTGCTCTTCCGTGTGGATGGGGACATTTGGGTTGCCGTGGCCCCGGACCATGACCTGACCCGAGTGAAGCTGCTGGACGTCCAACACGAGCTTCTGGAGATGCGGGCGCCGTTCCCCAGGCATTCGTCGAATCAGGCCTATGCCCGCGACCTTGTGGCAGGAGTTGTGTTGGCTGCTTTCAGGCGCCGCGCGAAGATGATGGGTCAGTTCTTGGTGTGGGACAGGTCGACGCGGCCGAGAGGATGGTCTGGGTCATCGCCGAGCACCGCTCCCCCAAGTTCGGCGAGATCGCGGATCGTGGAGGCGGGAGTCATGGAGGGCGACGCCCGGGGTGCTAGCTTCGACGCCATGGTCGCGGCGGTGCTGGATGGCGAGGAGTTGTTTGTACAGGCGATCGCGGTCAGCGCCCTGCCGGAGTTCAAGACGACGAGGAAGACCGACTTGGGCGACGTCCGCGCCCTTGGGGGGGACCTCGACGAGGCTGGCCAGAGGAACCTGCGGCTCTCCGAGGCGGCCGCTTTGATGCGGGGCACTGAGCAGGCGAACTTTCCTTGTCGGGCGTGCGTGGCGCGACGGAGTTTCTGGGCTGTGGCCTCGGGCCCTGGCAGCGCGGTCTCCTGCCGGGCAGAGCGGGGGCGGCTCAGCGGAGTCGGCGAGGGCTCGGCGGTCAATCGCGTCCATCGGAATTTGTGTGAGGTGATTCGGCTTCTGCGCGCCTGGGGCCGCGCGGATCTCTCGATGCTTTCCTCTGCCGAGCTCGTCGTGCGCTGGGTGATGCAGACGGATGTCGCCGCGGGGCGCAATCCGCGGCGCCCCGACTACAGCGGCCTCGACGTCGTGATCTCTGCGCCGGCGAATGCCGTGGGTCGCGCGTCTACGTCCAAGTTCAATTCCAGGGTTGCCGACGGGCTCAAAGACAGGGCCGCCATCTGGGTGCAGGAGCGCCTCTACCGCGAGGAGCAGAGGCACTCGCGCAAGGAAGGCGAGGGCAAGTGTGGCGACGGCGAGACTGCATTCGGCAAGAATGAGAAAAAGCGACGAGGCGTCGGCGCTGGGGGCGCCGCCGGCGCGGGCGGATGATGCGTCTCGGAGGTGCGGGGGAGCCGACGTTGGCAGCCTGGGCGTCGACGGACCCCCCCGCGGCCTACAGGTCTGGAGGGGCCAGGGCGCGAAATCGGCGGCGCGGCGATACTTTCCCCTTGCCACGTGATGCTTCTGTCCTTGGCGATGAATGCGAGGATGAGCGGCTTCGGCAAGTTTTGATTCGGTCTGGGTCTTGAACCAGCTGGCCGCCGCCAGTGTGAATTCGCGTCGCGCCGTGGGGCGCGATCTTCCACCTGTGGGCCGCCTTCGGCCTGCCACCGTGCAGCGCTGGATGCTCCGCAACGTGGCCCGGGGGGTCGAGGTGCCCGAGTGACCTTGCAGAGGCCGCGGGACCTGGCACCTATTAGTGACGTTCGGCCTATTCCGCCACCGTGCTTGGGTTGTGCGTGGTGCAGGGCTTCGACACCCAATCTGGACTCCATGCCCGTTGGCAGAAACGAAGTGCAATCTTACTCAACACGCTTATGGCTTCCGATTCCTTGGGGTCTTTTTGCGGGGCCTCGGGGGCGGCATTTTGGCACCCTTCAAAGCTCTTGACTGCCGTTTGGGGCCTTTGGGCGTCTTTTTGTTTTTCTCTTGTGGGCATCTTGGGGCAGGTTGGGCGTCCGTCCTGGGGGCCATCTTGTTGGGGATGGCTTCCTGATGCTTTGCGAGTTCCCCCTCTTGGGCTTTGGCCGGCTTGGGGGCCTATCGGGCAGTCTCGGAGCCTTTGGGCCATCCCCGGGCCCTCTCGGTCATCCTGGGCCAATCTGGCAAGCTTCTCGGTTGTCTCGGGGGTAAGACTGCTTGGAACCGCAATAAACACCATACAACGCCATGCGGAAATCCATGTTTTTTTGCCTCTTGAGTTTGTTTTGTGGGTCCTCTGGGGCACTCTTTGGGCGTCTTCTGCGCCTCTGGGCCGTCCTGAGGCCGCTTTGGATGTCCTGGGGCCTCTCTGGCGTGTTTGATTTCCTTCTGAGCCATCTCAAAGGTTTTTTCGTGGGCATCTTGTAGGCCGCGGTGGGTGGAGTTGGGGGCTCCGGGGGCCAGGGTGCGCTGGTGAGCTCGCCTTTCCCCCCTTCCCCCCGACGGGATTGTTGACTCCAGGGGACGGGGAAGGAGGGAGGGGGACAACCAAATGTTTCATGTGTTTTTTCACCCCAGGGTGGGGTCTGCGGAATATTGCTCGTGCTCTGCTCCGTTTAAAACCGCAGCCAGGGTCGGCTCAGATGGCACAGCCTAACATCGGCTTTTTCCATGCGGGAGCGAAGGGTTTCCACACTGCTAGAGCTGAGTAGAGAGTGGTAGGCGGGGAGGGGGAGGCAGGGAGGAGGGATAGAAGGGAAGGGAGGCAGGGATGAAACACGGTAGAGACGGGGAGAGCAAGCACGGAATATGCAGTAACATCCGATGCCGCAGTGCGTCGCAGTGGATGTCCTGCAGTTGCGGCTGGCATCTGTGAAGCAAGCCGTAGACGTGTAGAATTAGAGCGCGCGCGCGGATGCGGAGGGTATTCCAGACGGGAAAATGATCGGGGACGAGGTGACGAACTTTGCGATGGAGCTTCCCCGTCCCCAACCCCTAGCTGTTCAACGAGAGCTCATCCCCCCAAGCTCCTGTCGACAGTGCGCGCCCGTCCCTCCCTCGACTAAAGGAGGGGTGGGCGAGTTGCACCTAGGAGTGGGTTCGCGCCTTCCCGGCCTCGCCGTGCCAGTGCTGGGCCTGGGGCATCGGTTTGGGTGTCGGAACAGAGGAGGGGATAAGGAGGGGGGGTAATTTCGAAATTCCTTGCATGCAGCTGGTTTCGGCGCCGGGAGGCACCAGGAAAACCAGCTACGTGAGCTGATTCGATGATCCCCCTTTTACTACCCCCCCGCCCGACCCGAAAGATGACTTGAACCTTACTACCGCATGTGATGGAACTGTGTGTACTCTGTTCATGCAAGCTGTCGTTTCCAAGGCTTGCTGCTGCTGTCCAGACTTTCGGAGGATGGTCTTGGTCAAGTTTCCGGTGCAGTCGCCAGAGAAGGGGATAACAATCGACACCACTACCTCGTCGCCACGGCCAGATTCCGCCTCGAAGCACTGGTCATGGCGCACCCTGGGAGAGTTTCCGGGAGCAGCTGCATCGGAATCCCTTGTTCCCCAGAATCTGGATATCGAGCCCTTTGGATCCAGGCTGGAGCAGATGGGGTCGGAGGATTGCGCCGCATCGCCGATGCATCGCCGATGCATCGGCGACGCGATGCGACCTGGAGACCGTCCTTTTTTTCGCCGTCGCCGATACATTGGCGATGCATCGGCGATGCGGCCCGATCCTCCGACCCCATCGCGCTCGTCCCCCGCTGCGGGAGGCCTCCATCCCAGACGTGTGATGCTTTCGTTTTTCCACCGAGGGTCCCCGGACGTCCCGCGACCCCTTCCCCGGGGCCAGCTCGCCGCCCCCCGGCGAGGGCCCCCTGGAGGACGAGAACGGCCGCAAGCTCGGGGGTTGCTGAAGGTGCCCCTGGCCCATTGGTGCACCCAGCTTTTCTCGCGCCATTTCGGAGCCCCTGGGGCCCTGTGGACCTCGTGGGGGGTGCTCTGGAGGCCGTGGGGGCCTCCTTGGAAGTCCTGGGGGCACTGTGGGCCAGCCGCCGCGATTTTTCCGCGACGCGAGCCAGCCTGGGCCTGGCGCCTGCCTGGGGGAGCGGCCGCAGCCGCGCGGCTCGGTCTCCCCTCGGCGCCCTCGGCCGCGAGGGCCCGGGGCGACGTCGGCCCCCCGCCCGCGGCAGCGCCCGCGTGCGCAGGACCGGGGCCGCGAGCGCTCCCGGTCGCACGACGACCGCCCAGACAGGAGGCACCAGCCTCCCCTTGGCGCGTGGGGACAGCAGGGGCCACGTTCCCAGAGATCCGGGGCTCCCAACAAGCACTGGGGCGGCGGTACTTTCGGTATTTTCGGCCTCTGGGGGCCCTCGCAGGGCCTCGGGATCGTCAAGCAAGGATTCAGGACGACAAAACGGCCCTAGGGAAGTGGCCCAGACCTCCGGGGCCCGCGTGCCCAAAAGATTGGGGCGGCCGGACGTCTGGGCTCATGGGGGAGATAGGCTCAGGGTAGCAGTGGGGGGGAGGTTCGAGGTTTTCGGGCGTCCTCGTCGGTTCTCGGCGGTTCTCCGGCCATGGGGTGCGTTCCAGCAGCTGCGCCTCGCCGCGAGAGTTCCGGGGACTGCCCGGATCGTCCCGAATGGCTGACGGTGAGCAGAGTTTTGGCTTGGAAGCCAATGGGCAACAGTAGGGGGCGGGGGATGGGCTCAGGGAGGGACGCACCGACCCCCAAACAGAGCTCCAGCGAAGGCCCCAGTGGCCGTGACCACGTGCGCCCCGCGCCACCCAGAATGGCGCTTCGTGGCTCCCTAGAGAGCTCCACCCAAGGCCCCAGTGGCTGTGACCACATGCGTCCCGCGTCACCCAGTGCGGTGTTTCGTGGCCCCATGCGGAGCTCCACCGAAGGCCCCACTGAATGTGACCACGTGCGTTCCCCTGCGCCCATTTCGGCACACCGCTCACGCGTTTCGGGGCTCCATGAGCTTCACCGAAGGCCCCAGTGGCGATTTAAGCATGCGTCCCCCCCGCTCGTTTTGGCATACCCCTCAGGCGTCTCGTGGCCCCATGGGGAGCTCAACCGAATGCCCCAGTGCCGACGTTCGCATGGCGGCCCCGCTCCATTTCAGCACACCCCTCACACGTTTCGTGCCTCCATATGGAGCGCCACCGACGGCCACAATGGCTGCGCCCGTATGCGTCCCCGCCCCATTTCGGCACACCCTTTGCGCTTCGTGGCCCCAGAAAGAGACCCACCGAAGGCGATACCCACAACGGCGATACTCACAACTGCACATGGTTGGGCCTTCTCCAGGACATGTTTTTTGACCGAACGCCTGGTGTTTCTTCAGCAGTACCGCGCTGAGGAGTTCGCCGCGTCGTGGTGCTTATGTGTTTTTCTCGATCGGAGGCTCTTCTTTTCCTCCACATTGTATTTCCTCCTTCAGCGTTGGCCTCATCTCAGGATCGGCGCATTGATCGGCGCATTGCTTCCGCCGTTCAGAATGTCGCCCTCGCCCCCTCGCGGGGCACAGTTGTGGATCCGAATTCTCTCTCTCGTCGCTGTCGCCCCCCCCGTCCCCTCTCTTGCTCTTTCCCGTGGCCCCCTCTTGCTCCTCCCGCTCCTGCTCCTGCTCCTGCTCCTGCTATGCGCTCCTCCTCCTCCTCCTCCTCCGCCCTCCTCCCCCCTCCATTCACTTTCCCGCTTTTTGAGGCAAAGGGGAGCTCGGCGCTGAGCCGAAGCGGGCCCCAGAGGGGCCTGATCTGCCAAGGGCCCCCCCCCCAGATTGTCCCATCACCTCCCCGGCTTATGCCTGGACCCCCCAGGCCCCCGGCTAGATTTCTTTGCTTCCTTCTCTGTCGGGGGCCCCTCTTTGCTGCGACCCGTTGCACCTTGGACCCTGGGCGGAGCGTTCATTTCTTTCCGCGCGCCTTGTCATAGGAACCCCTGAACTCTTTCGGTTTGAGTATCAGTAGTACTTTAGTGCAACTGGTTCTAGCGTGTACTAACCTGCAACTAATACTAGAGTGCGCCTGGCCCTTTAAGTGCAGCATGGGGGTTTAATCATCTGCAACTGGGTGATCAAGCCGTATCACAGTAGAGCAAACTATTTCAGTACACGTGTTAGCGCAATTTTAGTACAACTAATGGGTGCACACATTTGCAATCTTGGCTCTCGATTTTTTCCTCTTCTGCTTGCGCCAGGTATGTGTGTGTGGGGGCACCCATTCGGCTGAGAGTTCATTCCTCATCCGAAGTTCCAGAATGGGGTAGCCTCCGTTCTCGAACCTCTCGCCAGGGATTTTTCGTTTCTTCCGCGGAAGCCTGACCCCCTGGGTTCTTCGGCGAGCCACATATTCTTTTCCTTATGGATGGGCCCACAGGGGTCTTACGTTTGAGTCGGCCGGGTGATGTTGTCCCCCCCTGTGCCACCCTTGCGGGCGCGAGCAACGCCAACATTTTCACCAAAAGGGGACACAATATTTGCCGCCAGGCCGAGGCTCACCGGCTGCCACCTCCTGCTCAAACTCCTGCTCATCTTCCTGCCCATTCGCCACTCCCTTCTCCTCCTCCTCCTCCTCCTCCAATGTACACAGGTCCTGGCACATCACACGATTGGGTCATTTGGGGATCGAGGTTCGCTACGACGCCCGTCGGCGGAAAGAGAACGAGTTAGCGTAATGAGAAGGGATGTCATTATGACCCCAGGCCGAGGGTTCACAGTCCCCCACAAGATGGGATGGGTCCCAGGGTTCCACAGCCCCCCCCAGACCAGATGGAGGGGGATAGCGCCGACGCCGACGCCGACGCCTACGCCCACGCCCACGCTCACGCCCGCGCCCACGCTCACGCCCACGCCCACGCCGACGCCGATGTCGACGCCGACGCCGACGCCGAAGCCGACGCCGACGACGACTCCGACGCCGACGCCGACGACGAGGACGACGTCGCCGCCGCCGCTGCCTCCGAATCCGACTCCGACGCCGACGCACACGCCCACGCTCACGCCCACGCCCACGCCGACGCCGACGCCGACGACGACGACGACGACGCCTTCGCCGACGCCGACGCCGACGCCGACGCCGACGCCGCCGTCGCCGCCGCCGCCGCCGGACGACGAACGACGGTTGACGGTTGACGGACGACGGACGACGGACGACGGACGACGTCGACGTCGACGCCGACGCCGACGCCGACGCCGACGGACGAGGACGGCGACGACGACGAAGACGACGACCACTACGGCTGAAGACGACGACGACGACACCGACGACGACGACGAGCCACCCCACACCCACAGGGGGAGGGAGGGTCAGTTCACGGGCGCCGTCCACCATGCCACACCCACAGGGCCACGACCACTGGGGGGGGGAGCGATCCCATTCGCGAGGCCTTCACGAGGTTCACGGGCGTACCCATCCAGCGTGGGGGTTTGATGCCATGTGCATTTGGGGGGGCAGACCTGGATCATGTATATGGCGCGCACACATAGTTTGTCCCTCCCCCCCTTCCTCCCCTCCTCCATCCCTCTCTCTCTCTCTCTCTCCCCCCCAACCCAACCCCCCCTTCCCCCTCCCGCCCCCCGCCTCACCCTCCTTCCCCCACGGCGCCATCGTCATCCCCTTCCCTGCCGCCCCCCTCTTCCCCTCTCCCCCTCTCCCCCTCATCCCCTCGTCCCTCCTCTCCTTTCCCCTCTCCTCCCCTCCTCCCCCCTCCCGCCTCTTCTCCTCTCACCTCTCAGACCCCCACGCCGTGACTTTCTCGCGACGTGTACCCGCAGAGGTCTGGACCCGATCCTCGGGACCGGCTTCCCGTCCCGAGCCCTTGTTTGACGGTCCAGGGGCCCGGCGAAGGGCCCGGAAGAGGGAGATAATAGCAAGACCCTCCTGCTGTGTTTTGTCCATGATATGTTTCTTTTCGCACCCCGTCTTGGACCTCTCCTGAGGCGGCATTCTGACCAGCATTTGGAGGAGAATCCAGCCGTGGCCGCCAGGGCGCCCCAGGGCGCCCCGAGAACGCCCACAAACCTCGGACCCCCATCCCGGATCCTCGGCCCTCAAGTCCTCCCCCCACACCTCCCTCGCTGCGTTCGAGACTGTTCTTGTAAGGGCCCAGCGATAGCCTGGGTTACCGGTCCCGCCCGCCCCTCCGGAAGACCTGTCCCTGTCGGTTGCGCAGGTCCGGTGGGGGTTCGTAGTGCTGGTGCGCGCGGGCGTACGCAGGCTTGCCTAGAGCGAAAAGGTGAAGCAGTCGGCCAGCATGCCCCCCCCCCCCTTCTTGGCGGCCCGCACATCGGCGCAGGGGGCGGGGGGAAGGCTTCTCAGAAGGAGCCTTCCCCCCTCCCCCATACCCCCTTGTGCGCGCCGCCGAGTTCCGCCGGATAACCAGGGTGATCACCGAGATCGGGCGGGTGGTAATGGGGGGGGTGACCTGAAGGGGGGGTGATGGATTGCCAAAAAACATAGGATTTCAAAAAAAAAGGATTGCAAAAAAAACCCTTCGGTTTAACGAAGGATTGCAAAAACAACATTTGTTTTGCAATCCTTCGGTTTTTTGCAATCCTTCGTTTTTTGCAATCCTTCGTTCAAGCGAAGGGCCGTAAAGAGCCCATCAGGGCTTCTGTTGGAGCCAGCAGGGGCCCACATGGGATCCTGACGGGCCCCTTGAGGGCCCTTCTCGTTACCCCCCGTTTTGGTAATCCTCCATTGCGACCACCTGCCTGACGAAACATCATAATCCTGGCGTAGGGCCCAACCATATGCCGTTGTGAGTATTGCCGTTGTGGGTATCGCCTTCGGTGGGTCTCCTTCTGGGGCCACGAAGCGTGTGAAGGGTGTGCCGGAGTGGGGCGGGGACGCATGCGGGCGCAGCCATTGGGACTTTCGGTGGCACTGCATACGGGGCCGCGAAACGTGTGAGGGGTGTGCCGAAATTGGCGGGGGGAGACGCATGTGATCACAGCCAGTGGGGCCTTCGCTGGAGCTCACCATGGGGCCGCGAAACGCCGTAATGGGTGGCGCGGTACGCATGTGGTCACAGCCACTGGGGCCTTGGGTGGAGCTCTTATGGGGCCACGAAGCGGTGTACTCAGTGCGGAGTGCAGAGGCATGGATGGGAGGGGCGGGGAGGAGGGGCGAGGAGGAGGAACGCGCGCAAGGCGCTGTCTCTTCGAAACGAGGACCCAGCACCACAGGATGGCTGGGAAAGATGGGCCTGTTTTCCACCACCACCATCACCATAAGTTGGAGGGGGAGGGGGTCCTCCTCCTCCACCTCCTCCTCCTCCTGCTCCTCCTTCTCCTCCTCCTCCTCCTCCTCTTCGTCCTCCTCCCCCTCGTCCTCCACCTCCTTCCCCCCTCCAGCTTGTGGTGGTGGTGGTGGTGCAAAACGGGCCCATCCGGGAACAGAACACCTTCGCCCCCCCCCCGGCGCCCCCCTCCCAAGGCCGCAGGGCGACCGCGCCGACCGGAGGCGCTCGCGCTCGCGCCGGGGCGAGGGGCGGCGAGGGGAGCGCCGGGACGGCGAGGCGGCCGGCAGGCGGGAGAGGCGGGCGCCGCGCCCGCGCCGCGCCCTCGCGCGCGGGGTGAGGGCGAGTGCGCGGGGGAGGGCGAGGGGGAGGAGTGGAGGGAGGCGATGGAGGGAGGGAGGGAGGGAGGCGAGGGAGGCGATGGAGGGATGGAGGGAGGGACGGACGGATGGACGGAGGAGGAGGATGGACGGATGAGGAGGATGGAGGGAGGAGGAGGATGCAGGAGGAAGGGAGGAAGGGAGAATGGGAGGAATGGTCAAGCAATGCCAAGCAATGCCAAGCAAAGCAAATTACTGCTGAGCGATGCCATGCAATGCCAAGTAACGCCGAGCCATGCTAAACAACGCCAAGCGATGACAAGCGATGTCAAGCAATGCCAAGCAATGCAGAACAATGTCAAGCAAAGCAATGCGATGCAAAGCAATGGCACTCACAGTAAATCAATTCAACGACAAGCCATGCCAGGCAATGTCAGGCAATGCCCGACAATGCCAGGCAATGCGAAGCAATGCCAAGTACTGCAATCTAAGCAATGCCATGCAAGGCAAAGCAGTGGCAAGCAAAGCAAATCAATGTCAACCAAAGTCAAGGAAAGCCAAGCAATGCCAAGCAAAGCTGAGCGACGCCAAGCAATGTCAAGCAGTGCCAAGCAGTGCCACGAATTGCCTGGCAATGCCGATCAACGCCGAGCACTGCAACGCCAAGCAAAGCAGTGCACTGCCAAGGAATGCCGTCCGTTCTTCTCTTTGCAGATCTCAGCGTCAGGGGCGGCCGCCGGGACCCAGCACGAGAGACTGCACCCCCCGGGAAGGGAGGGGTCGGGGCCCCTCGGGCCGCGGGCGGAACGGGGCGCGCCGCCGGAGGCCTGGGCGAAAGCCCCGAAGGACGCCATGCAGGGAGAGCGAGTGGAGGGGCTGACGAGCGGGGCGGGGCGGGGGGGGGCGGGCAGGGGAGCGGGGGAGGAGGGGGGTGGTCGACGGAGAATCAGGTGCATACGCATGAGCTTTCGCAGGTCCCCCCCTGGGTCCCTCCTCCTCCTGACTGACCGACTGACTCATTGGCATCGAGAAACGAAGTCTGTAGCCACCACCTCCTCCTCCTCCTCCTCCTCCTCCTCCTTGGGTCCTCCTTTCTTGACGTTGAGCGAGCTTTCATCTCAGGATAGTTGCATCAGCTCTGGGTCTTCCTCCTCCTCCTCCTCCTCCTCCTCCTCTCTGCCCTTGCACGCGCCCGCCCGCGAAGGCGGCCAGGAGCGACCAGAGGAGGTTGATTGTTTCGGCCCGCAGGCCAGAGGAGGATCCCGTGATGCCCCGTCGCAGTTGTCGACTGAAGATGCGCTCGATCCGCGCGAGTCGATTCAGAGTTGTCTGTCGGTGTCGGGCCAACGTGTCGTCCATTTCTGAGGTCCTCGCGGATCTCTTGGAGTCGGCGCTGGGTCCTCCGGGCGGCGCCCTCCCGCGCCGCCCTTGGCGCGCTCCGCGCACCAGGAGTGGGAGCCCAGCGCCGATCCAGGCAGTCCTCGCGGAGCTCGGGAGGTTTGCGTCGAGGCCGTCTCTCGAGGTGACCCTACTCCAGATTTCGTAAGAAAGGGAGGGGGGTCTCATTTCGGGGGGGGGTCTCTTCCCGGCTATCTTGGAGGGCCTGGGGGGGTCTGGGGACGATGTTTTGGAGGGTTCTCCCACGGGGGAGGTCTGAAATGGCTTGTCTTGGAGGGTCCAGACCCCCTCCCTTTTATTACGAAATCTGGAGTAATCCTAGGGGGGCGCGACGATGGCCGCGCTGCGCGAATCGCGGCAAGAGTTGGCGGATGCTGGGGAGGCGCCCGTCTCCAGGGCGGCGGCGCGAGGGCGCGAAGGCAACCGCGCGTCGCGCCTCGCGGGGCCCGATGCGCAGCGTTCGGCGACCTGGTTTTTCTTTCGTCCGGGTGACCGCGCCCACCCCTGTGTGTGTGTACTCCAGATTTCGTAATAAAGGGAGGGGGGTCTCATTTCGGGGGGGGGTCTCTTCCAGGCTATCTTGGAGGGCCTGGGGGGGTCTGGGGACGATGTTTTGGAGGGTTCTCCCACGGGGGAGGTCTGAAATGGCTTGTCTTGGAGGGTCCAGACCCCCTCCCTTTATTACGAAATCTGGAGTACCCTCTCTTACTTACCTTCTTTCTCCTCACCCGCTGCCCTCTCGGCCTAGGCGCTGACGCCACACATCGGTCCGCGACACCCCCTCCCCGTGGGAGGAGAAGGCATCCTCGTCTGCGTCCTGCGGATCGTTGGCAGGGCTGGCCCTCGGATCTCTCCCCGCACCCTCCCCCCTCCGGCGAGGGAGAAGTCCGCCGACCGGGAGGTCCGGGAGCGCGACCGCGCCTTCGTGCAGGACCGCCTGAAGCGGGCCCAGGAGCGCCGCCCCTCGTCGCGGGGGCCACGGTGGTGCGGAGCCCTTGGGGGGCGGCGCGCGGCAGCGCGCCCCCCTCGTTTGGGGCGCAGTTCCTGCGAGGTAGACCCGAGGCGGGAATGTATACATGACCACTGCCTGGAGGATCAATTGTCGGGGACCTCGACAGGCAGTGGATATGGATGTATTCGGGCACCCAGGGGCCAACATATATATATGTATATATATATATATATATATATATGGTGGTTGTGCTGGTTGTGCTGGTGGTTGTGCTGGTGGTCGTGCTGGTGGTTGTGCTGGTGGTCGTGCTTGCGGAGGTGCTGGTGGCCGTGCTGGTGGCTGGTCGTGCTGGTGGTCGTGCTGGTGGTTGTGCTGGTCGTCGTGCTGGTGGTTCTGCTGGTGGTCGTGCTGGTCGCTGGTAGTGGTTGTGCTGGTGGTTGTGCTGGTGGTCGTGCTGCTAGTTGTGCTGGTTGTCGTGCTGGTGGTTGGTGGTGCTGTCTGGTCGTGCTGGTGGTCGTGTTTGGTGGAGGTGCTGGTGGTCGTGCTGGTGGTCGTGCTGCTGGCTCGGTGCTGTTGGCTGGGCCTGCTGCTCTCCCTTGTGCTGGTGGTTGTGCTGCTTGTCGTGCTGGTGGTCGTGCTTGTGGTTGTGCTCGTGGCTGGTCGTGCTGATGGAGGTGCTGGTGCTCGTGCTGGTGGTCGTGCTGGTGGTCGTGCTGGTGGTTGTGCTGGAGGTCGTGCTGGTGGAGGTGCTGGTGGCCGTGCTGGTGCCTGGTCGTGCTCGTGGTCGTGCTGGTGGTTGTGCTGGTCGTCGTGCTGGTGGTTCTGCTGATGGTCGTGCTGGTGGTTGGTAGTGCTGGAGGTGCTGGTGGTCGTGTTGGTGGTCGTGCTGGTTCTTGTGCTGGTGGTCGTGCTGGTTGCTGCCCGTGCTGGCGGTCATGCTGGTGGTCGTGCTGGCCCCCCGCTCCTTCCCTGCGCCCCCCTCCCCTTGCACTCGTGCTCCCCCCACTCTGAACCTCCACAAGCGCCCTCCGCCGTGCTCCCCCCGCCCTCCCCGGGCCCCCCTCCCCTTATTCCTTCCGTGCGCCCCCTCCCCCGCTCCTCCCCTCCGCGCCTCTCCCGCCCCCGTGCTCCCCCCACCCACCCCCGGCCCCCGCGCCCTCTCCCCCGTGCTTCTCCCGCGTTCCCCGAGCCCCCCTTCTCTTATTCCGACCGTGCGCCCCCCCTGCCTGCTCCTCCCCTGCGCCCCCCTCTCCTTGCCCCTGAGCTCCCCCCACCCTCCCCACGCCCCCGCGCCTTCTCCTCCGTGTTCCCCCCCCGCTTTCCCAGGGCCCCCCTGCCCATATTCCGACCGTGCGCCCACCCGTCGCTTCTCCCCTGCGCCCCTCTCTCCTTGCCCCCGTGCTCCCTCCACGCTCCCCGGCCCCCGCGTTTTCTCCTCCGTGCTCCCCCCCGCTCTCCCCGGGCCCCCCCCACTCCTTATTCCGACCGTGCGCCCCCCCCCTCCTCCCCCCGCTCTCCCCTGCGCCCTCCCTCCTCTTGCCCCGTCCTCCTCCGACCCTCCCCGCGCCCCCGCGCCCCTCTCCCCCGTGCTTCCCCCGCCGTCCCCGGGCCCCCCTCCCCTTATTCCGACCGTGCGCCCCCCCGCCGCTCCTCCCTTGCGCCCCTCTCTCCTTGCCCCCGTGCTCCCCCACCTCCCCGGCCCCCGCGCCTTCTCCTCCGTGCTCCCCCCCGCTCTCCCCGGCCCCCCTGCCTTATTCCGACCGTGCGCCCCCCGCCGCTCCTCCCCTGCGCCCCTCTCTCCTTGCCCCCATGCTCCCTCCACGCTCCCCGGCCCCCGCGCCTTCTCCTCCGTGCTCCCCCCGCCGTCCCCGAGCCCCCCCCCACTCCTTATTCCGACCGTGCGCCCCCCCCTCCTCCCCCCGCTCTCCCCTGCGCCTCCCTCCTCTTGCCCAAGTCCTCCTCCCACCCTCCCCGCGCCCCCGCGCCCCTCTCCCCCGTGCTTCCCCCGCTCTCCCCGGGCCCCCCTCCCTGTATTCCGACCGTGCGCCCCCCCGCCGCTCCTCCCCTGCGCCCCTCTCTCCTTGCCCCGGTGCTCCCTCCACGCTCCCCGGCCCCCGCGCCTTCTCTTCCGTCGTGCTCCCCCCGCCGTCCCCGAGCCCCCCCCACTCCTTATTCCGACCGTGCGCCCCCCCCCCCCTCCTCCCCAGCTCTCCCCTGCGCTTCCCTCCTCTTGCCCCCGTCCTCCTCGCACCCTCCCCGCGCCCCCGCGCCCTTCTCCCCCGTGCTTCCCCCGCCGTCCCCGGGCCCCCCTCCCCTTATTCCAACCGTGCACCTGCCCCCCTGCTCCTCCCATTCGCCCCGCTCCCTTCGCCCCGTGCTCCCCCCACGCTCCCCGAGCTTCCGCGCCTTCTCCCCCGCGCTCCACCCGCCTTTCCCGAGCCCCCCTCCCCTTATTCCGACCGTGCGCCCCTCCTCTCCCGCTCCTCCCCTGCGCCCCTCTCCCCTTGCACCCGTGCTCCCCCCACGCTCCCCGCTCCCCGGACTCCCGCGCCTGCTCCTCCGTGCTCCCACCGCCCTCCCCGGGCCCCCCTCCCCTTATTCCGACCGTGCGCCCTCCCCCCGCTCCTCCCTTCCACGCTCCCACCGTCCTCCCCGGGCCCCCCTCCCTTCTTCCGACCGTGCGCCCTCCCCCCGCTCCTCCCCTGCGCCTCCCTCCTCTTGCCTCCGTGCCCCCCGCCTTCCCCGGGCCCCCCTGGCCTGATTCCGACCGTGCGCCCTCCCCCCGCTCCTCCCCTGCGCCCCTCTGCCGTTGCCCCCGTGCTCCCTCCATTCTCCCGGGCCTCCGCGCCTTCTCCCCCGTGCTTCCACCGCCCTCCCCGGGCCCCCTTATTCCGACCGTGCGCCTCCCCCCGCTCCTCCCCTGCACCCCATCTCCTCTTGCCTCCGTGCCCCCCGTCTGCCCGGATGCCCCTTCCCCTTATTCCGACCGTGCGCCCTCCCCCCGCCCCTCCCCTGCGCCCTTCTCCCGATGCCTCCATGCTCCCCCCACGCCCCCCGGGCTCCCCCGCCCTGTCCCCCGTGCTCCCCCCGCCGTCCCCGGGCCCCCCTCCCCTTATTCCGACCGTGCGGCCCTCTCCACCGCCTTCCCTGCGCTCGTCTCCTCTTGCCCCCGTGCGCTCCCCGGGCCCCCGCGCCTTCTCCTCCGTGCTCCCCCCGCCGTCCCCGAACCCCCCTCCCCTCATTATCATACCCATCGGTGTGATCTCGCACTGTATTATTTCGACCGACCGTGCCTGGCATGTGTTGGACGCGCCCTGGATGTGCGAAGAGATGTGTCCTTGTGAACGCCGGGGTGTGTCCTGTCTCTGTTTGCCGGAATGTGTGCCTGGAATTTGCTCGGCGTGCCCTGGGATGAGCGAAGACATGTGTCCGGGAATGTGAACGCCGGGGTGTGTCCTCTCTCCGTCTGCTGGCCTGCGTGCTGGGATGTCTGCTGTCTGCGCGCTGCTCCGACCATCTGTGTTGGCATGCGTGTCGACATGTCAAAGGCTGTCCCCGTCCCATCGCCTTTTTGCCCTCTTTCCACGAGCCACCCACAGCGGCTTCTTCCGACCGACCGCGCCCCCGCCCCCCTGTCTTCCGTGCCCCCCCCGCGGCTTATTCCGACCGACCGTGCCCCCTCCCCTCTCCCTGTCCCGTGCCCCTATTCTTGTCTTATTCCGACCGACCGTGCCCCCCTCCTCTCCCTGTCCTCCGCCCCCCTTCCCGTCCCCATTTCCCTTTCCCTCGCCTCACCTGGCTTCTTCCGACCGACCGTGCCCCCTCCTCTTTCCCTGTCCAGTGCCTTTTCCCCGTCCCGTGGCCCTTTTGCATCCCTGTCCCGTTCCCCGACCGTGTTCCCCTTGTCTTATTCCGACCGACTGTGACTCCCCCTCCTCTCCCTGTCTTCCGCTTCCCCCCCTCTCCATTTCCCTCCCCCCTCGCCCCCCTGTCCTATTCCGACCGACCGTGCCCCCTCCCCTCCCCCCCCTCCCCTTCCGTCCCCCGCCCCTCCGTCCTTGTCCCCCCCCTGTGCCCCCCTCCTCCCCTCCCTGCCCCCTTGCCTCCCCCTAGTTCCCCTTTTCCTTGTTCCGACCGACCGTGCTCCCCCCCCCCTCTCCCTGTCCCCTGCCCCGCCCTCGCTTATTGCGACCGGCCGTGCCACTCTCCTCTCCCTGTCCTTTGCCCCCATCCCCCTCCCCATTTCCCTCCCCCTCGCCCCTCCTAGCCTATTCCGACCGACCTTGCCCCCTCCCCTCTCCCTGTCCCGTGCCCTGTCCCCGTCCCGTAGCCTTTGTCCTCTATCCAGGAGCGCCCCCCCCTGGTTTATTCCGACCGACCGTGCCCCCGCCCCCCTGGCCTATTCCAACCGATCCTGCCCCCAACCCTGTGCCCGTCCCGTGCCCCACCTCCGACCGACCGTGCCCCCCTCCCATCTCCCTGCCCTCCGCCCGTGACCTCCCCTCGCCCTCCTTCCTCGCACTCCTTTTCCTTATTCTCATACCTGCTGGTGTGATCTCGCATTGCATTACTTCGACCGGCCGGCCCTGCCTGGGATGTGTGCTGGACTGGGATGTGTGCTTGGACGTGTGCTGGGACGTATGCTGCCTTCGTGTGCTGGGATGCGTGCAGGGCTGTGTGCTGCCTCCGTGTGCTGGGATACGTGCCGGCACGTGTGCTCTTCATGCCCTCCCGTCGCCCTGCCCGCCCCCCGCACCCCTCCGCCCCGTGGCCCCCGTCTGCGAATTTCGACCGACCGACCGTGCCCCCCGTCTGCCCGACCGTGCCCGCCCGTCCCCCTGCCCCCCCCTTGTACCCTTCCGCCCAGTGGCCCCGTCTGCGAATTTCGACCGACCGACCGTGCCCCCGGTCTGCCCGACCGTGCCATCCCGTCCCCCTGCCCCCCCTCCCCCCGCACCCCTCCGCCCGGTGGCCCCCGTCTGCTTATTCCGACCGACCCACTGTGCCCCCCCGTCAGCCCGAGCGTGCCCTCCCGTCCCCCTGCCCCCCTTCCCCCTGTGGCCTCCCGTCTGCCTATTCCGACCGACGGACCATGCCCCCCCCCACCACCTCTGGCCCGTTGGCGTCCCATCTGCGCCCGAAGTTGTATGATCCTTGGCGCGCGTGCCTCTCGTCTGTGTGTCCCCGGGCCCCCTCGCAATCCTGACCCCTCCGCCACGGGGGCTGCCAGCTTCGGCCTAAACTCTTGGGCGCCGCAGGGCCTTGCATCCTCCTCGCGCATCCTCGTGTGACGATCTGGTCGCCCTGTGCTCGTTCTGAGCACAGCTCTCCTACGGGGCCCAAACATGTACACCACCACCACCTCCCTCACCCTCTCCCTCTCCCAGGAAGGTGGAGTAGGAAGAAGAGGGCAGAGGAGGGAGGAGGACTCGACGTGGTGGTGGTGTATATATTCTTGGGACCCGCACCTCCTCTCTCCCCCGACAGCGTCTCGGCCTTGTCGCAGAGCACCCACGGTCCGCTTCGTGCGCGCCGCTTTTCAGCGCGGCAGCTTGGGTCGTTCCCGGCAGCGCTCTCGCCTCGGCGCCTGCCCTCGCTCCTGGCTCGGCCGCGTGTCTCCCCGCTCAGGTTTCTCCCCCTCCCTCCTCCTTCTTCCGTCTCCTCCCCTTGCCTCCTCCTCTTTTCTCCTCCTCCTCCTCCTCCTCCTCCTTCTCATTATCCTTTTCCTCTTCTCCCTTCCTCCTCCTCCTCCTCCTCCTCCTCCTCCTCCTCCTCCTCCTCCTCCTCCTCCTCCTCCCCCCTCCCTCCTCCTCCTGCCTCCTTTTCCTTCCCCACAGTTCTCCCCTCTCCCCTGACAACAACGTGCTGTTTTCGATTCGGCCCCTCGCGCGTATCGTTTTGTTGCACAGGATGCCAGAAGGTTTCTCGACAAGTGTCATTTGTTCTTCAACGTGATACTTCGGCTGTAGCGCGGGCTTGATTTCAGCCTCCGTGCATTGCTCCAGTCGATCATATTTTCGCTCTTGCCCCAGCGCGGGTCATATATGTCAGAATCCGATTGCTTCGTCGTTGTGGCCCCCTTCTCCCTCCTCCGCCTCCCCAGGCTCCTGCTCCTCCTCCTCCTCCTCCGCCTCGTCCCTTTCCAATGTACCCGCTCCTCTCGCCGCTCCCCCATTGCAGCACAGCAAACGCTCGGTCAAGGTGTCTGCCATTCTGGGCAGGTGCACTCTGGGACGCCCCGCTCGGCTTGCAGAGGAGGACTCGGCGCAGCGAAGAGAGACCAGGCCGGCACGAGGGTCAAGACCAGCCGCAGCTCTGGAGTGGTACCCTTCTGTTTTTCGTGCTCGGACCCTCCACCTCGGGGAATGTTCGTCGTTCCAGGCACAGTCTGCCCTGATTAGCAGGTCGTCCCTACCAAATCAAGGGTAGGTCGTCCATCGATAAGTGGGTGTACCTCCTGCACTCCTGTCGGCGGCGAGCCCGGGGGGAAGTGAGAAGGGGCGGGCCTTCTCAGAAGGCTCGGAAGTCCCCCCGGCTTTCTGAGAAGTTCTCGAAGCCTTTTCCGGAGACACAGCGCTCTTCTCAGAAGGCGCGCGGGGGCTTCTGAGAAGCCCCGCCGCCGTCTGAGAAGGCCTTCTCCCCTTCTCGTCTCCCCCCCCCCTCGCTCGCCGCCGATCCCATGGCAGTGTGGCCCTCGGCGGGGCCCCGTGGCCTCTCGCGTGCCCTGACCCAGCCAAGGCCGGCGGCCCCTCCGCGGGGCCTCGGGCCCTCGGCGCGGGGGCCGGCGCTCTCTGCCCCCGCGCCCGTGGTCGTGCCTCGGCCGCAGGCGGGGGGGGGCGGGAGGGCGGGTTCGGGGTGCTCGTGCGGCGCAGTTCGCCACCCACCAAACCACCCCAACCCAACCCGAAGAACTCAATTTGCCCTCCATTTCCAGTTGGGGGGTGGGTCGGGGAACATGGAAAAAACACACATGAAGTCTGCCCCCCCCCCCCCCCAACCGGAAATTCGGGTCTTCGGGTTGGGTTGGGGTGGTCTGGTAGGTAGTTAGCAATGGTGGCGGAGGGGAGCGTGCGCGCGTGAGTCTCTTCCAGGGCGAGCCATGCGCGAACTAAGCGGCGTGGTCCGTGATCGGCGGGGGGTGGGAAGGGAGGTCTTGGGACGCTCGTGCGGCGCAGTGGTGGCGGGGGGAATCGTGGACGCGTGAGCTGTTGTCCAGGGCGAACAGTGAGTGGCGAGCAGGGCGCGAGCTAAGCGGTGTTTTTGGCGATTTCGTGGGCCGTCTTCGTTATGATGTTGTTTTGCAGCAAAGGCGGAACGAACACATAATGCGGGACAGCGAGAACCACACGAACACGGGAAACACTGTTTAGCTCGAGCCCAGGTGGTTTGTGTTGAGCCTTGGTTCGCACGAGGTTTGCTCACCACGGTAAGCGCCCCCAAAGTGCAGCCTGCTCGACTTCATCCTCTTCCCCTCCTCCATCCCCTGGCTGCCTCGATCAGAGAAGCAGGATATCATGATAACATGTTTCAGGATTTTTCAAGGTTTCCAACACTCCCTATGTTTTCGCACGGGCTGCAGCAACGAGGGCCACTGGATACCCTGGACCTCCGCGAACGTACCCCGAAGCCAAAGTATCATGACACCATTCTCGTGGTAGAACCCGCCGCCTCCCCCCGCCAGCAGCGCTGCCAGGACGACGCCGTCAGGGACCGCAAGCGGCTCGGCGTGGACGTCGAGGAGGACAAGGGCAAGTTCCGCGCCTCCTGCACGTTTATGGGCGACCGCGGCGCCATCACGAGCGTTGGGCTCGCGGGGCACCGAATCCGAAGCGGGGGCTTACAGCGGATTCGCGCGGTGTTGACCGGCGGCGACCCCGCCGCCTGCGTTCGACGTTGGACGCCGCCGTCGACCCCAAATCGGTTGATGCTGATCGATCTGGTGGGCTGGAAACAGCCGATCGTTCATGTTCGAATGATCCAGCGGTGTCAGGAACCAGCGCCAGGGTCGACAAGACGCACACCTTTCCGTAACCACAACCACCGCCCAGGCGCTCGATTTTCTGGCGAGAGATCCAAGTCGGGCCGATCCATCCATCCATTCGTTGCCCCCTCCCTCGAACCCTTCCTTCTTCCTTTCTGTTCCCTGTCTTCTCTCCTGAGGTCGTTCTGACACTCCTGCTCCTCGACCACCTGCTCTTCCTACGCCTCATCTCTCAACGCCTTCATCATCTGCAATGCGAGGCGGGGATTCATGCATCCCGCCTGGGTATCGATCTTCGGGGCCTCGGCAGGCAGTGGATCTGGATACATGGCGATTCCGGATAATGCTGCCGTCTCGGGGGAGCGCCTGTTTTACTTCCGCCGCCTTCCGCCGGCTTCCGCTGGCGGAGGCGGCCTCCTTTCACTTCCGCCGCCTTCCGCCGGCGCTTCCGCCGCCCTCAGCCGAGGAAGGGGTGGCAAGCCCGTCTGCCCTCGAGAGCGAGGCCCTCGAGAGCGAGGCCCTCTCTGGAGCGCCCATGTATCTGGCCCCCCCCAAGGCCCGCACACAATCATTCGCACCGCCCGCCCCTGGCGGGATGCATGAATCCCCGCCTCGCATTGCAGATGATGAAGGCGTTGAGAGATGAGGCGTAGGAAGAGCAGGTGGTCGAGGAGCAGGAGTGTCAGAACGACCTCAGGAGAGAAGACAGGGAACAGAAAGGAAGAAGGAAGGGTTCGAGGGAGGGGGCAACGAATGGATGGATGGATCGGCCCGACTTGGATCTCTCGACCAACCTCGGCAATGTCGACGGTGAGAGACGACAGCAATGCGACCTCTGGTGACACATGTACGACGCTCTAGAGAGCAAAGGAGTCGAGGCGACTGCGCTGTCGCTTGACGCGACGAACTTGAGGCGGGCGAATCTTTGGCGAAGGGATGTGCTCTGGAAGACGGCGGTCATTCCGAGGAGGGCCATTTGAGACAACGGCGGCTCTCGAGCCCGGCCCACATCCGTCCAAGAGCTGTCCTTGGACCCCAACACCCGTGACTGCCGCGTCCTGGCGATCCGAAATCGTGCAAGAACATCGTGCCTTGGACTTCAACCTTGCACATCCTGTAAGCTGTGGCAAATCTTTGTGACGAACGTGCGCGGCGCTGCGGTGACAGTCACATTTGAAAACGGACCGCCCCTCATCCTTGGAATTGCTGCAAACTTTGAAGACGAATGTGCGCGGCGCTAAGGATCGCCACATTTGAACGAGCGCGTCCTACCGCTGCTGGCGGAAAACTGGGGGGGTCACTGGGGGTTCCCAACCCGTCCCCCCCCGGAAAACGGGGGGGGGGGGTTACTAATTACCGGTTCGAACCCCCTCCCTTCCCGCAGTGCATCATGCAAACGGGGGGGTCACTACTGGTTCGCTACCGGTTCGAACCCCTCTCCCCTCGCCGCAGGCAAACGATTTCCGCCCCTCGGGACAGTCGGACAGTGGTGGGGATACTGGGACAGTGGTGATGACGGTGGTGGTGGTGAGGACAGTGGTATGGGGACAGTGTGACAGTGGTGCGGACAGTGGTGGGGACGGTGGTAGTGGGGACAGTGGTGAGGGGACAGCGGGACGGTGGTGGGGACAGTGGGGCAGTGGTGGGGACGGTAGCGGGGACAGTGGCGACAGTGGGACAGTGGTGGGAACAGTGGGGACAGTGGGACAGTGGTGGGGACCGTGGGGGAAGTGGGGAGAGTGGGACCGTGGTGGGACAATGGTGGGGAGATTGGGGACAGTGAGACACTGGTGGGGGCACGGGTGGGGACAGCGGGAACACTGGTGGGAACAGTGGGGACAGGTGGACTGGGACAGTGGTGGGGACTGTGGGACAGTGGTGGGGACGGTGGTGGTGGTGGTGGTGGGGACAGTGGTGTGGGGACAGTGGGAATGGTGGTGCGGACAGTGGTGCGGACAGTGGTGGGGACGGTGGTGGTGGGGGCGGTGGTGAGGGGACAGCGGGACAGTGGTGGGGAGAGTGGGACAGTGGTGGGGACGGTGGCGGGGACAGTGGGGACAGTGGGACAGTGGTGGGAACAGCGGGGACAATGGGACAGTGGTGGGGATCGTGGGGGACGTGGGGAGAGTGGGAGGGGACAGTGGGACAGTGGTAGGGACAGTGGTGGTGGCGACAGGTGAGGGCGGTGGCGAGGACGGTGGTGGGACAGTGGTGGGGAGAGTGGGGACAGTGAGACACTGGTGGGGGCACTGGTGGGGACAGCGGGAACAATGGTGGGAACAGTGGGGACAGTGGGGACAGTGGTGGGGACTGTGGGACAGTGATGGGGACGGTGGTGGTGGTGGTGGTGGGGACAGTGGTGTGGGGACAGTGGGACAGTGGTGGGGACTGGGACAGTGCTGGGGACGGTGGTGGTGGTGGGGGCAGTGGTGTGGGGACAGTGAGAATGTGGTTCGGACAGTGGTGGGGGCGGTGGTGGTGGGGACAGTGGTGAGGGGACAGCGGGACAATAGTGGGGACAGTGGGGACTGCTGGGGACGGTAGCGGGGACAGTGGGACAGCGGGACAGTGGTGGGAACAGCGGGGACAATGGGACAGTGGTGGGGATCGTGGGGAAGTGGGGAGAGTGGGAGGGGACAGTGGGACAGTGGTGGGGACAGTGGTGGTGGGGACAGGTGAGGGCGGTGGCGAGGGCGGTGGCGAGGACGGTGGTGGGACAATGGTGGGGAGAGTGGGGACAGTAAGACACTGGTGGGGGCACTGGTGGGGACAGCGGGAACAGTGGTGGGAACAGTGGGGACAGTGGGACAGTGGTGGGGACTGTGGGAGAGTGGTGGGGACGGTGGTGGCGGTGGTGGGGGCAGTGGTGTGGGGACAGTGGGAATGTGGTGGGGGCAGTGGGACAGTGGTGGGGACTTTGGTGGCGGGGACAGTGGTGCAGTGGCGAGGACGGTGGTGGGACAATGGGACAGATGTGCACTGGGGACAGTGGTGGGGACAGTGGGGAAGTGGTGGCAACAGTGGGACAGCTCAGTGGGACAGCGGCGGGGACAGTGGGACAGTGGGACAGCGGGGACAGTAGTGGGGACACTGGGACAGTGGTGGGGACCGTGGGGAAAGTGGGGAGAGTGGGTCCGTGGTGGGATCAGTGGTGGGGACAGTGGAGACAGTGCGACAGTGGCTGGGGCACTGGTGGGGACAGTGGGGACGGTGGTGGGAACAGTGGTGGGCACAGTGGCGGGGGCACTGGTGGGGACAGTGGGGACCGTGGTGGGGACTGGTGGTGGGGACAGTGGTGCTGGGGACAGCAGTGGGGGATGTGGTGCGGACTGACTGCGGAGTCGTGTGCCAGCGGTGAGGGGGGGGGGTCGAACCTGTAGTGACCCCCCCCCGTTTTCTGGAGGGGGGGTGCTCGAACCGGTAGTGACCCCCCTCGGTTTTTCTGAAGGGGGGCGGGTTCGAACCGGTAGTGACCCCCCCCGGTTTTCCAGAGGGGCGGGGGGGGGGTTCGAAGAGGGAGTGACCCTTTTCGGTTTTCCGGAGGGGAGGGGGGGTTCGAAACGGTAGTGACCCCCCCCCGGTTTTCCGGAGGGGGGGGTTCGAACCCGTAGTTCCCCACATGTTTCGTGGGGTTTTGGTTTTCTTCCCTGCCGCGGCGCACCCGCGTCTCCTCACACCTCCCCTCCTCCCTCTTCTTCCTCTCCTCACCCGCGCTCAACACATGCACGGCAAGTACATGACACACGCGTCTACATACAGCCGCACGCATGCACACATTCGCACACACACACACAACACACACACACACACCATACAACGCTAGTGCGCGCCTGGCGTGTTCACTGCATCACACATCCACGACGTGTGCGCCACATAGCGGGCACCCACATGAGACACGTCCCGATATGGCCGCTATGCACGACTGTCGTCCAGGCATAGCAGGCGTGGCATTTCCTCGACACCAGAGGGGGTGCGCTGGGGGTGGGGGCCCTATCCGTTTCGGGCTCGCAAAGCGTGGCAGGCGTGGCACTTCCTCGACAGCAGAGGGGTTGCGCTGGGGGTGGGGGCCCTATGCGTTTCGGGCTCGCAAAGCGTGGCAGGCGTGGCACTTCCTCGACACCAGAGGGGGTGCGCTGGGGGTAGGGGTCCTTTGCGTTTCGGGCTCGCAAAGCGTGGCAAGCAGGCGTTTCCTCGACACCAGAGGGGGTGCGCTGGGGGTGGGGGCCCTATGCGTTTCGGGCTCGCAAAGCGTGGCAGGCGTGGCACTTCCTCGACACCAGAGGGGGTGCGCTGGGGGTGGGGGCCCTATGCGTTTCGGGCTCGCAAAGCGTGGCAGGCGTGGCACTTCCTCGACACCAGAGGGGGTGCGCTGGGGGTGGGGGCCCTATGCGTTTCGGGCTCGCAAAGCGTGGCAGGCGTGGCACTTCCTCGACACCAGAGGGGGTGCGCTGGGGGTGGGGGCCCTATGCGTTGCAGGCTCCCAGGGCGTGGCAGGCGTGGCATTTCCTCGACGCCACAGGGGGTGCGCTGGGGGTGGGGGCCCTATGCGTTGCAGGCTCCCAGGGCGTGGCAGGCGTGGCATTTCCTCGACGCCACAGGGGGTGCGCTGGGGGTGGGGGCCCTATGCGTTGCAGGCTCGCAGGGCGTGGCAGGCGTGGCATTTCCTCGACGCCACAGGGGTGCGCTGGGGGTGGGGGCCCTATGCGTTGCAGGCTCCAGGGCGTGGCAGGCGTGGCATTTCGCGCCACAGGGGGTGCGCTGGGGGTGGGGGCCCTATGCGTTGCAGGCTCGCAGGGCGTGGCAGGCGTGGCATTCCTCGACGCCACAGGGGGTGCGCTGGGGGTGGGGGCCCTATGCGTTGCAGGCTCCCAGGGCGTGGCAGGCGTGGCATTTCCTCGACGCCACAGGGGTGCGCTGGGGGTGGGGGCCCTATGCGTTGCAGGCTCCCAGGGCGTGGCAGGCGTGGCATATGATGCGTTGCAGGCTCCCAGGGCGTGGCAGGCGTGGCATTTCCTCGACGCCACAGGGGGTGCGCTGGGGGTAGGAGGAGAGGAGGAGGAGGAGGAGGAGGAGGAGGAGGAGGAGGAGGAGGAGGAGGAGGAGAGGAGGAGGAGGAGGAGGACGGGGAGGTGGGGCAGCAGCAGCGGCAGCAGCAGCAGCAGCTGCAGCAGCAGACGCAGCAGCAGCAGAAAGCAGCAGCAGCAGAAGCAGCAGCAGGAGGAGACACCGAGGAGGAGAAGGAGGAGCAGCAGCAGAAGCACCGATGGTACACATGGGAAATAAAATAGGTATGTGGGGTTCCTCGGTAGCGTAATGACCCTCCCCGGTTATCCAGACGGGGGAGGGGGGGGGATTCGAAGTGGTAGTGACCCCCCCCCCCCCGGTTTTCCGGGGGGGGGGGGTTCGAACCGGTAGTGGCTCCCCCTGGTTTTCCGCGATGGGGGGGGAGGGGTTAGGGGGTTTGCCGGGGGGGAGGGGGGGTGGAGGGGGTGTTCCTGCAGGGGGGGGGGGTTCTAAGGGGGGGGGTGGACCCCCGGGTTCCGGAGGAAGGAAGAGGGAGGGGAATTTTCCACAGTAGAACGGCGGTGGATCACGCTCTCTCCCACATTTTGAAAAGGACCCGCCCTCCATTCTCGAAGCTGTTGCAGCTCTCAAGCTTCAGGATCATAATGTGGGACGAACTCTCCTGCGAAACGCCCAGCCCGCCCTACCCACAAGTCTGGGGGTGCGACAGGGAGGAACTATTTGTAAGGAAGCGGGCTTTTTACAGTGCACCTTTCCCAACCACATTCAATATTCGGAAAAGGGATGGAGGAGGAGGAGGAGGAGGAGGAGCAGAAGGAAAAGGAGGAGGAGGATGAGGATGATGAGGATGATGAGGATGAGGATGAGGATGAGGATGAGGATGAGGATGATGATGATGCTGATGCTGATGCTGATGCTGCTGCTGATGATGATGATGATGATGATGATGGTGATGGTGATGATTTTGATGATGATGATGCTGATGATGAATGATGATGAATGATGAGGAGGAGACGTATTATAAGGAAGGGTCAGGATGATGATGATGATGATGATGATGATGATGATGATGATGATGATGCTGATGATGACGATGACGATGACGATGATGGTGATGATGATGATGATGATGCTGATGCTGCTGCTGATGATGATGATGATGATGATGATGCTGATGCTGATGATGATGATGATGATGATGATGATGATGATGATGAGGATGAGGATGAGATGAGGATGAGGATGGATGAGGATGATGAGGATGAGGATGAGGATGAGGATGAGGATGATGATGATGATGATGATGATGATGATGATGATGATGATGATGATGATGATGATGATGATGATTATGAGGAGGAGGAGGAGGAGGAGGAGGAGGAGGAGGAGAAGGAGGACACATCTTATGAGGAAGATGAGGAGAAGGATTCGGGCTCACAGTAACGAGGAGGAGGAGGGGGGACAGTGTTAACCCAAGATGCATTAACGATGTTGCAGTATACCCTCCCTCTAACTTCCTTCTGCATAGGTAGGTCGAATATCCTTCTTACAAGTCATTGTGGGAGGTGGACAGGTGGACCATTCGAAGATAGCCGTCTGACAATCCTCAATCGGGCCCCCTTATTCCATTCCTAGGACTTCAGCGCCGCGAAGCAACCTAACAGTTGCGTGCTGAGAATTCTGAACCGTGCCAGAACACCATTTTTAGGACTCCAACGTGAATCAACGTGATTGTCGCGTCCTAGCAATGCGAAGCCGTGTCATAAAACAATCTCTTTGGTCGTCGGCCATGCGAACTCCCTGAAGCAGTCGTACACTTTTAAGACGAACGTGCGCGGCACGAAGATGATAGTATACTTTGAGCACTGACCGCCGGCCATCCTTCACGCTGTTTCGAATTTTTAAGACGAATTTGCGCGGCGCTAGTACGAGAGCCACATTGTGACATCGAACCGCCCTCCATCCTTGAAACGGTTGCAAACTTTGAAGACGACTGCGCTCGGCGCCTACGCGAGAGCCACATGTTCAAATCCACTTGTCTTCCACCACATGTTGCAAATTTGAATTTCCAGGAGCTTAAAGGGTGAGGCAACTCAGGCGAAACGCCCAGCCCGCCGTACCAGCACGTCAGGTCAGGGGGTGCGACAGGAGGAATAATTTGTACAGAAATGGATCAATACAGGAGGAGGAGGAGGAGGAGGAGAAGGATGAGTAGGAGGTGGAGGAGGATAATTGTTGGTTTGGTAGTAGCACGAGGAGGAGGAGGCGGAGGCGGAGGCAGATGAACAATAATAATGGTACTACCACTAATAGTATTAGAATTAATTGTATAAGATTCAGATTCGTGATAGCACTGCGAACACACTATTAGTACTGTAAATAATAAGAATATTGCTCGTACAAATATTGAAACTATGAAGCAGCATAGTAGTCTTATTCAGAATAAGAGTACGTATCATACTATTAGGACTCAGAGTAATACAAATAGTGATAACACATAATCATACGAAGAAAAGGAGGAGGAGAGGAGGAGGAGGCGGAGGAGGAGGAGGAGGGGGAGGAGGAGGAGGAGGAGGAGGAGGAGGAGGAGGAGGAGGAGGAGGATGAGGAGGAGGAGGGGGAAGAGAAGCGGGGAGCAGTGGCCAGGAGCCAGAGCAGGGAATGGGCCCCCGAGGCCGTGGCGCAAGGCGAGCGAGAAGGCCCGGCAGGACGGTGAGGAGCTGGAGGCGCGCTTTCGGGGGCCCCCGCCCCTCAGGACCCATTTCGATATTCGGGGCCACTTCGATCCGATCGATCGGATTCGGTATCGATTTCGGCCGGTCTGATCCGATCGATTCGATATTCGGGTCATCCGGTGCGGCCCGGTGTTTGCGTGGTGCCGTCGTGGATCCTTGCGTTGGAGCCTGTTTTTTTGTTGCAGGCCGCTGACGGCCGTCACTTGGAGGGGGAGGGGGCCCGTGGCGTCACGTTTCGCGCCGGCGGCGTCTGGGAGTGCCTAGGACTGACCGAGGACGGGCAGCAGCAGCAGCAGCATGTAGGTGGCAACCTGCATCACAGCGCCTGTGTACACCACAGTGCCTGCGTGCACCACAGCGCCTGTGTACACCACAGCGCCTATGTAGACCACAGCAGCCGCGTGCAACACAGCGCCAGTGTGTGACACAGTGCCTGCGTACATCACAGCACTTGTGTACACCACAGCGCTTGCGTACACCACATCAGCCGTGTGCAACACAGCACCAGTGTAAACCAGTGCCCGCGTGCACCGCAGCGCCTGTGTACACTACGGCGCCTGTGTGCACCACAGCAACCATGTGCAGAGCACCATTGTTGTATATAGAATGTTCGAAGGAATCCAAATGACAAGATGCAGCGCCTGTGAACTCCACCAAACAATTTCTCTAAGTCGGATTTGGAAAAGGCATTCTTTTGGATAGAGAAGGCCGCTGGAATCTACAAGTTCTCCCGCCCGAGTCCTCCCGCATCATTCTAGCTCCTCCCATCTGCGTGCAGAAGGCTCCCGCAGAATTGGCCGTCCGATAATCAAGTGTGCTGATTCAATCGGCCATTCTGCGGAGCACGCTGAGATTCGCACGTGCGCTTTGGCGCCGACCCTCACGACGGGGAAGGAGGAGGAGGAGGAGGAGGAGGAGGAGGAGGAGGAGGAGGAGGAGGAGGAACAAAAGGACCACCGCTTGGCTAATGGGGAGGCTAAGGGTTGGCCGACCCGACCCATAACCCGAAACTTCGTAACACTGGGCCACCAGTTGTTCTCCACAGCGGCCACGGGTGCCGCTGAGACGGCAGTGCGCTGCCGACGCTGAATGCGGTGCTGGGGCCTGGTGTGGCGTTGCAAACCAGGCCTCAGCAGCACCGGACCGCCACCGCCCACGATCGTGGGGGGTGGGGAAATGGGGCAGAACCACTGTCGGGGCGGACTGGCAACCCCACGTCCACCCCCGTGCTCCGAGGCCCCCGTGTGGTTGCCGCCTGGCTGACGGAACCCCAAAGCTCGGGTTCTAGGGCTGGCTGCGTACCCAGCACCGTCAGTCCAGGAAAGAAGCTCGGATTCCAAGAAACAGCTGTGGGTTGAGGCGAAGCTGCAGCTCTGTGCCGCAGAAAAGTGTGCAGCGCTCCTCCCCCCTGAGGCGGGGTGCGTGACACGCTTGCAGGACCACGCACGCACGCACGCACGCACAGTAGTCAGTTGGGCCCAGAAGTGGCGTTGCACACCTGGCCACAATCCCGTTCCTCCACCGCCTGTGGCGGGGACTGGGCAGTAGGCAGGGTGGGCAGGGGAACCCAAAGTCCACCCCCGTGCCCAGCAAGGAGGTTGCGCCAAACAGCACTCTGCAGCGAAAAGGGCGACATGCCCCGCCTGGCTGGCGGTACCCTAAAGCTCGGGTGCTAGGGCTGGTTGCGGGACACCAGCACCGCCAGTCGGAGCGATATGCAAGACCCCAGATCGAACCAGCATCGGGCCAAGGCGTAGCTGCGGCCGGTGCCTTATGATAAGGAGAAAGACATGAACACTCCTTCCCCCTGAGTCGGGGTGCCTGGCGCGCGCGCGGGGGGCGCGCTCGCACGCGCGCACAAGCGCGCAGAGAAAGAGGCGATGCCAGGACGACTCGGTTCTGCCTACCCCCCCTGGCGTAGAGAACGCCAGGACGGTGGACAGGCCTCATCCCTGGTGTGGGCCTGTCTGCTCCTGGGCTTGAGTTGCCTCTCTGAGCAGCTGCGCCAGCGGCGCGGGAGGGGGACTGAGCGCAATCGGGCTGGCGGCGGCGCTCTTGGGGTGACGGCCAGACTGCTCTCTGCAGCTGCAGCTTGGCCCCATTATGGGGCGGTCTCAACTTACAATCGCCAGACAAACCTTTCGAATTGCCCGCCTTGAAGGAACCGCACTTGTGGCGTGCCAGAAAACTTGTTGGCAGTTCGAGGTGCTCGTACTAGAACAAAGTATGCCCCCTGGGGTTGGAGGCCAGGGTGGACATCTGGGGGCAGTGTCCAGGGCAATCCATTCCACTGCATCGCTCCTCATGTTCTTTGAACGTGCGGGCGCGGATGCGGCAAATCGTGCGCTGGCGCTGGCCATTCACTATCGCCCAGGCGTGGGCCCTCGGGGTCTCGCGAGGGGCCACGGGCGGAGGGGGGGGGGGGCGGGGGGCGGGGCCCCAGGGCCCCATGGGGGCGAATGCCGAGGCAGCCCCCGAGGGAGGGGAGAGGCTCTTCACGGGCATCCCGAAGTTATTTCTTCAGCAGGGCAGCGTCTTTCTGATGCTGTTCTACTTCGTCGAGACTAGGTTGACTGCCAATGTTCGCGGCGGCCTTGGCAATCCTATCTGCGGCCTCGTTGCCGCTAGCTAAACGGAATTCGTCACTGTCGGGGGGGGCAGCTCCGTATTTTGGTGAGCCTGGACTTTCTGGAGTTCGGGGCCGAGGTCAAAATGGCCTCCGCCCGCGAGTACTTTACGACCTGACCATTGGTTGCGTCGAGGGTGCCCAGCCTCGCCGTGCAACTGCACCACCCTTTTTATTATCTGAGTAAATCTTGTCAGCGTGAGGCGAGAGCCTGCCTGCCGCCACTGCGGCGAGGTGCTCAGCGGCCCCCGAGATTTGGGCCCCCAGGGGCCCAACGCGGCCATAACGGGTGGCAAACTCCTCTCCATCCACCATGCACACCGCGGCGAACCCAGCAGCATTGAAGGTATAGTTGCCGTGACACGTGCAATTGCCATCTACGTCGACATCAGCTTTGAACGCTTCCCCAGGCCTTAAATCAATTAGGGTCTCGGCACCAACACTTAGCGGCCTCCAGGCCAGTGCCGGGGGGGGGGGGCGAAGTTGGGCGTGAGCTGATGCCCGAGGTGGAGCGGGGAGGTGTCAGGAATCGGGTCTTTCAACCTACGAAGCCACCCGCTAGTGAACTCTTCTCTGGCCTGGGCAGTCTTGGGGCACTCGAGGAGGTGATGTTGGAGGTCATCTTTGTGGTGTCCACATGGGCAATTTTGGGGCGCATCATATCCCGCTGAAAGTGCGCGCTCCATGGCCCAGGTGCTCTGGATGGCGAAGGCCAGCAGCGTGCCGCGCTGCGGCTTGGTCAGCTCGACTGAGCTGAGGCCGGCGCGGAGGGCTGAAACATCGAGCTGCTCGCCGTGATGCCCCATCTTGGTGGCAACCTGTACTGTTAATTTGTCGCGCCCTGCAACCTCGAGCTGCTTGGCAATGTGGGATGGGGAAGGTCCTGGGAGGGGGTGCACGAGGCCTGTGGGGATCACGGAACGGAAGGGGGCCCTGAAACGACCGCCCCGCCCTGGCCAACGGGGGGGGGGCGCCGCGCTAAGGGGGCCCCTGCAGGAGCCCCAAGTTTTGGGAACTCACGGCACAACCGCCTCTCCCCAGAGGCTGATCTGTTGGGGGCTGGCCGCGGCCGCATCGGGGCGGGCGTTGGCCCCCCAGACAAGACGGCGCCGCGTGAGCGCGGGCCCGAGGCCCGCTTTCCACGGGGGGTCCTGGAGGATGAGGGGCGAGAGAGTGCGGCTCTTCGAGGCGCACCTAGGACCTGCTGCAGCGAAATATTGAGTTTGGACCTCCGCGAGCATCGTGTTGTTGACGCCCGTGACCTCAACCCCGGACGTGGTGGCCGCTGCGCGGCCAGCATTGTGCAACTTCTTGCCCCCCCCCCCCCCCCCCACACACACACACAGCATGTTTAATGTTTCTTGATCTTGTCAATGCGCTCCGCAATCGCTACTTCGTAGCTCCGAGCATGCCGCCGCAACAATAACTCATCGATAGACATCGCGATGCGAATGTAGCTGTGCGTGGCTGGGGCAAGAGCGCACGTTTGCATAAGATGCGTCGTCCTCCCGCGCCCTGCAATCGATCCCCTTCCACGCTTTGCCGACATCATCGCACGCATCCTGCATAGCAACGAAGCGGGTACTTTCATATTGAGATATGGTGATGCGGAGCAGGCAGCGCGGGAAACCAGGGGCGACGGTGCGCTGGGCAAGGCGCTCGCGATCTATGTGCTTGTAATAGTTAGAGAGGTCCCATAACACTTGCGCGGGATGTTGGGGTTCCTCTTGGCACGCATGATATTCGCATTCAAGTGACTGTGCATATGGCAAGTTCCACTATTGAATGTCCCGCCTGATGTGCAATGCATGGTCGTCTGTGGTGAAATTCCCACTCTCGGGATGCTGATCTCCGCAGTCGGGCCCAGACGCGATAAGGGGCATGGAGCATGCCAATCGACCGAAAGGCGGGCTGGGCATTAATATCATCATGCTGTTCTAATTTGGCAATGAGCGTAGATATAGCACCCTGCAGCTGCGATGGTATTTGCCCAATATGCTCGATCAGCTCAAACATCTTTCAAACTAGCTCGGCTTGCTCGTCATCGAGCATGGCGAAGTGGCGCGGGTGCACTCCGTCAGAAGTTGAGGGCGTACTGCGTGGAATGCCTCTGGGAACCTTTCGACCTTTCGAAGGCGAGCTGGGGTGATGGGTCCAAGGGCCACCCTGTCGCCGGTCTGGGGAACCCATTGTGGGGGGGGGGGGCTCAGTGTGAGCATCCCGAATCTTGGCGAGTCGTCCGGCCCCGACCTGGAGGATGTGCTGCGGGTGTCCAGAAAACCGCTGGCGATGCACAACCGAAACAGGCTGCCAAGCTTCGAGCTTCTTCTTTCACCTGTGCGCCCATCCCATACCTCCTTTCATG